TTTGACATATGACATAAACGATCTTGTAAATCCGTCTAAATTCAATTTTTAATTTTATTAAGAACAAAATAAAATAATTTTTTTTGTACTTTATTAATAGTTGTTGAATTCAATTGAAAAAGTAAATTAAATTTTTCTACTGAACAAAAAACTTCTTTTAATGTTTTCGGATGAAATAAAGTTATCTAAATAAATATAAAATAAATATTTAACTTAAAAAAAGAAGATAATTATTTACTTTAATAGTTTTTGCTAATAAATAAACTCCATCATTAGTTAAATTTACAAATGAATTCATTGAAATAATATTTCCAATTAATTGTGTTACATTGAAAAATTCTTCAGGTTGAATTGATGTTTGTAAAAGTGAATAATAATCAATGAAATTAAAATTTTCTTCCATATCACTTTGATTATGTTTTTTTGAATCTTGAAATAGATGTGGTAAAATATTTGGTATCTATTTAAAATAAAAGAATAATTAATTAATTAGATTCGATTCAATAGAAATAAGAAATATGGTTAGAAAGAAGAAGAAAACAAATGTTATTTCAGTGTGAAACATTAAAGAAAAAACGAAAAAAAAAATATTATTTATCATCTTTACCACGGCAAAAATTTCACCTACTGTTAAATCTCTTTTTTTCCTTTGCTGAAAATGATATATACATAAATATATTATTTTTTTGTTTTATTATTATTTTTTTCTATTGTTTTTTTTTCTTACTTGTTTAACATCTATAACTGTATTATTTAATAGATATTCACATTCTTCATTTGTATAATTAAGTTGTGTAGTCAAAAATGAACAAAATGTTGTAAAATTTTTAGTCAATGAATAAGTTAAATTTGATAAACAATCATAAACAAATGCCGGACGATCAATTAATGTTTCATACATATCAGGTAAAGAATCAATATCAAACATTGAAAAATTTTGTGTAAAAAATGGATTTGTTCGAGATATTCGATCAATTGTCATTAGCATTTCTGTAGATCTAAAAACAAAATGAATTTTGTTGTTTCCGTTTTTCTATTTAATTAAATTTCAATATACATACGTTCCATTAGGAAAAATACTAAAACCTTGTTCATTACTAGGAGCTGTTTTTGGACAAAATGATTGAAGAATCGAAAAAACTCCTGCTGATGGAAATGGCACAGCACGATATGTATGATCAAGAAAATTTGTAGTATAGTTGGCTAAAAATACAATAATGAATCTGTGTGTTTTTTTCTATTTAAAAAAAAAATTAAAGCTACTCTGTGGATGAAATGATGCTTGTTGAGTTTTTCGTATTGCAGTCATGACGAGAAATAGAACCAATGGAATTATAAGTTCGAATAGAAGGACGAACTAAGTAAATCAATTTTTTTTTCATAAAATTATTCTTATTGAAAATAACTTACGGGACTGCGTTTCTTTAAGATGTAATTTTTCCATAGAAGAACTTTAAGTTGATGAAGAAAAAGCATGTTGATAATGAAAAATATATAGGCTAAATTACTTCATCTAGAACAAATAACAAAAAAAAAATATATATATATAGATATTTTCTCTTTTAAAGACTAAAGAATGTTTGATTAATAGAAGAATTATTAGTCTGTTGATCATTCGATTCTGATTGTGTATGAAGAAATGATTGTAATAAACCAAGACCAGGACGATTATTCAAACCAGATTTAAATTGAGTTACACTACTTTCTACACATTGTTTATAAGTACTAATACAAGAAAGAAAAAAAAAGCAGCTTAATTAAATATTAATACTTAAAAAAAAAAGGATATCCGTACGATAAAAGTGATGGATGAATAAATTTTTTAAAATTTGCATTTGCTTCATCAAGTGCATGTAATTCCAAAAAAGATCCTTCACTTTCAGAAAATTCCTTTTAAAATAAAAGAAAAAAACGAATATTTTAACAAAATAAAAAATATACGAAATATTATTTATACGAACTTTCATTTGAACAATAAGAGCAACAAGTTTTGTAATCAATTCAAGATTTCCTTCATTAATAACCATTGATGGAATCTATACAGAGAAGATAAAATTAATTTTTATATTTTCTCGTCGATCTACATACATTCAATTTATTAACAAGTTCTTGTGCTAATCGTTGTGATCTATCACATACAAATTTTGTATCATTAAATACTACAAGTAATTGTTCATCAGTTACAATCTTAATTAATAAAAACAAAAAATCAAAAAAGTTTATTAAAGAAGTTCTCGTTTTAAAAAATATTACTTCTCGACAGATATTATTAATTTCATCAATAAATTTTGCTAAAAATTCATTTAATTTTGCTAACCATTGAATTAAATGTGCATAATCTCGTCGAAAAGCATCACTTAATGGAATTTGTCTACTTGTCTAAATAATTGACAATAATTAAAATAAAAATAAAACAAATTCTAACTTCAAATTCAGCTTGATCATTCATTTTACGTAAACTTTCAATTGAATCACGTTTAGCACAAAGTATTCGTGATACTCGAATCTAAAAACAAAAAAAAAGAAACAATTTGTCTTTTTAAAAAACTAAAAATAAATGAAACATACAATAAGATATAACAACCGATCAGGTACTTTAGTTATAACATCTGTCTTTATTGCCATTTCATCATCATCTGTTGTTTGAAGGTCTTCATCGTTATCGCTATTTACATATTCCTAAAACAATCTGTTCCAGCAAAAAAAAAAGAATAGAAAAATCATTTCTTTTTATACTTTATCTTTTTCACCAAATTTAATTGTTTTTAACTTATCCCCAAGGCCAACATGTTCAAGTGATTCTTCAGACTAAAATAAGAAATACGAATTTTTCTTTTTTTTTTTTTTTATTCCTTCAACATATTTTTTTTTCTCTTACATACCATAACATCATAATCATTGACATTCAACAAGCCAATATTCGAATCATCAAATAAGATTTTATATAATTGATTATTGTTTTCATCTCGAGAAATAAATTGTCCACGATATAAACCATATTGAGACGATCGAAAAAGTCGAACTAAAAAATCTGATTTATTTTTTCTTTTTCTTGTCAAAAAAAAAAAAAACAAACCAATAACACGAGAACCAATTGGTAATGGTGAAATAATTAAAGATGGAAGGTTATTGAGAAAGATTTTTTCTGATTGATAATGTGTTTTGGTTTCATATTGAAGAATACGAAGTAAATTTCGTTGTTTAGATAATTTAATTCTTTCATTTTTAAGATATGCTGATGATAATCTATTAACAAAAAAAAAAATAATAATAATAATTACTAATTTATTCTTCGTTTATTTTATACTAATAAAATTTACCTTCGAGGTTTACCAAATCGACGTCGAATTAAATTCCATTGATGTCGAGTAAATTCCAATCTTTTTTTTGAATTATTATTGTTGTTATTATTATTATTAAATTCCGGAAAAAAATATTCCATACAATTTTCAAATTCATTTTCCGTAGTAAGTAAACACCTTTAATAAAGGAGAAAAAGAATAATGTTGTCTCGATTTATGCATCATAATATAGAATGACATTGATTGTAATAAGAATATATAAAAATAAGAAGAGGAAAGGGAAAAAAAACCAGAAGAAATTTTTAATGAGTACTGGAGGAAAAAAATAGTAGCATACAGAGCTCATTTTTTGTTTGGTCGATGTCTTTGAGAAGAAAATAATAAACCATAAGTCACTATTCCGATATTTTTATGAATTAAAAAAAGGAAAAAAAAGAAAGAAAAACAAGTGACATTACACATTGTAAAATTTTCTTTACATCCTTGAACATCATCAAGGTTATTTTATAAGGTATTATGTTAAATGTACTTGCTAGTTTTATCAATTGTCTAAGGACATCTCATACTATTTAATCATTAGATATACATGTCTGACGTATGACCTTTTTGACAAGGCCAACAGAAAGTGAATACAATCATCAATTAGTTGATAATTTATTTAGAAAAACGAGCAAGTTTGGTCATTTATAACTCATAAAAATCGACACGATCCTAAAGAAAATATTTACTTTAATCTATCTTATCGAAGCATGTCATGGGTCTGAGAATATTGACAGTAAAAAAAAAACGTATGTGAGTATAAAGTTATGGGTGAGGCAAAATAACCCCAATTGCTGTTAATCGTTTACCGGTAAATATTTGTCGTAGAAACCCTCTTATTCGAACAAAACAGATCATTTACCTTGCTTTATGTTAACATTTTCTTTGCTTTACTGTAAGAACACAATTGGAAGTGAAAATAACTATTGAAGAGCAAAAAAAATTTTACTCGTAGAATTCTGTAGAGAGAACGATGAAACTTTTGGTTTGATAAAATATTTTAGGAATGAAATAAAAAAAAAAAAGAAAAATTACCAATCAATATCTGAATAAAACCATTCACAAATCATCCATCGTTGAGCTTTTGCATTCAATAGAAAATGTTTTAAATGATCAACATTTATTGTCTATGAAAAATTTCAAAGATTTATATTCAAATGTAAATCAAAAAATAAAATTAAAAATGCTAACCAAAGGAAATCTTGGGGATTTTTTGAATAGTATGTCGGTTGTTGTTGTCATATTTGAGTTACTCGTAATAAGAGAAAAAAAACAGCAGACATACAGACATGCGTCACTAGATACAATCGTTCTTTCGTTTTTTATTGAATTTATTTATAGACCATTCAAATTTTTATTCTCATCCTTCGATAAATTCAATTCCTAATTAAAAATTTTCTTTTTAGAAATTAAAATGATTCTCATTTTTTATATCAAGGAAAATAAAATTTCTTACAATATTATGCAATAACATTGAGAGTTGCGCATATTTATTCTGATTGGTTGAATAAGAAAATAAAGAGCGAAAATAAGAAAGACCTATTTAAACAAAGAATAAGGCAATCTAAAAAAGTATAAGGACATTTATCTTGATAAAAAAATTAAAAAACATGTCTGCTTCACATGATGATAGTCTTCCAGCTGAGGGTATGTTGAAATTTAAGATTTTTTTTTAATTAAAACATTGGTAAGATTATGTTTTGGTTGTGTAAGATTTAAATTATTATTTCCCTTCGATATATGTTTTACGTCATTTTCAATATGATTTGTTTTTAATAATTGATCATTATTTAAAAAATATTTAAGAAAATTTGCCTCTACTTTTGGAGATAATCGTATTGAACTTCGTTTTTCATTATTCATATTTTCTCGTATTGCTTCACGTTTTCGTGTTCGATAATGTTCTATATTTGCCTAATAAAAAACAAAATAAAAAATAAAATAGTTTTATGTTTATTACTAAATACTTGTTATGATGTCGTGAAATTATAGGTGGTACAGAAACTAAGAAGATTGCTTTATGATGAATTTTTTTGAAATAACTTTTGATAGAAACAAGATAAAGAGCTTTAGTTTCCACCTTTTAGAAAGAGGAGATGAAGATACATCGAATTCTATATTACAGGTTTTTAAACGTTTTCAATTATCAGATGTGCAGCTGAATCATCAATCTAAGATCCACAATATTTGATTCGATGCGATTTCATCTGCTCTTTCCAATGGTAAAAACCGAAGCGCTTTATCTTGTTTCTGTTGAAAGTTATTCAAAAATGTCCATCCACTTTTTTTTAAAGTGGACATTAGATTAATACTGCTAATAATTTCAAACAAGAGATACGTATTATCAAAAATTGTAGGAATGTATCTTATTCATTTAGAATATATGAAATCCGTAGTAACCATAATCTTGTTTGTTTTATTTCAAAACAAACTTTAGCTTTGAATTAGGTCGCATTACTTCACTCAATAAGTTTACTCTTAGATACATGAGCTGCTTCTTGTGGCTGATTTGATGCATGTATTAATTACGGAACTGAATCGATCGTTCAGGAAAGCTGTTCAATTTGTCCTGCATTGGAAAGACTTGCCGAATTTATTATAACGAAATTGTTTTAATAGTAGGTTTTATTTTTCGCATAAACTGATGTAGTCTGGATGTTCTATAGAGACATTCGGGCACAAAACAAAGTCATAGTCAAATTCAACTTCGGCTTTCTTTGATGTCTATAGGCATTGTTGGAATCCTTCAAAAGGTATTAGTTTGTACAGTAAATAGTAGAGAATAAAACCTACTATCCAAAAAAAAGTTCGTATGTTAAAACTGGATTTACGAGAAGAGATAGAAATTACTATTAATTTTCTATTGAATAAGAAAAAGTGACGTACAATATTTGTTATATTATCTTTTAATTGAAATAATTTCGCGTAATAATTATTTTTAAGTTGAATTAATGGTTGTGAAGATTTAAATTGTGAATTGATTAGTGTAAGAAAATTATTTTCATCATTTAATAATGTATATTGATTTGATATAAACCAAAATTTTCCATTTTCACTAATACGATGTGCATAACGTGTTATTGTTTTATTAATATCATTTTGATTATTAACAAATGCAACAAGAAATTGATCACCGGCTTGAAAATTCTCAGAATCAACAAGAAATTCTTTCGAAAGATCTTCTAGAATTTGTTTAAAATCATTCGGTGTACGAAGAAAAACAATTGTTGGATTTGATTCTTTATCGATACCGAATGGATAATCAAGATTAACAAGAAAATCATGTGTTTCTTTATTTATTTGACTTTTATTAAGTTCATTCATCATAAATAATAGACACGCACACACACAAATATTCGATAAAATAAATGAAGGCGCGCGCGCGCGCTCATGTCTAAGTTCATCTTAATTTGTATGACTACGTCTTTGTTGAGCTTGAGGTGAAAGTGATAAAGCCATATGAATATCTTTCTCATCCATCATATCATAAATTCCTTGTCGTCCAATAGTAAATCTTGTACCAATCCATTTTTGATTCGATATTTTAATTGTTGGTCGTACTTCATAATATTGAGCATTTGTTAATGGTTCCCATATAGATGGAATTTTTTCTTTTGTACGTGGATAATGTTTATCTGTAACTAAAATCCATATTGTTGGATTTTCTGATGATGTATATGTTGTTAGATGACTAACTTTTGTTGATAAATCTTTTGGATTCGATAAAAATAGAAAGACAAGTTTTGCAGCTGGTTCATCTTCAATTTTTGGTGTTATTTCGATATTGGAAATATTTTCTTCTTTTGTAAGAATATTAAAAGAATTTTTTAATTGATTAAAACCATTTTCACCACCAGGATAATCAAGTATATGAATTTTTTGACTTGGTATATGATGAATATCAAGATCAAATATTGAAAGAAAGTAACGTGCAATTAGAGAATTGTCTTTTTTTTCATATGGATTTCCATCATTCCAACGAAAATATATCGACATTTGATTATTTATATAAACTGAAGACAAAACAATTATTTATATCTTAAGCGCCTAATTTATATTTTTAGTAGAAAAGCTTTTGATTATAATCACATAATAGATTCAATAATGATAATTTACTATAGTTGATCATATAATACTTTCGTTTTGCGCGGTTAGATATAGTGGTGTAACTAGAAGAAACTCACAAGCAAATCTCTTTAGGTTTGAAAACGCTTTTTTGATCGAGATGATGTACATTTGATGAGTGGTAGAAAAGTCTAGAATGGTTTGTTTTTACGAGACTTTGTTCTTCAGATATCCATATTTAACCGTATTTTTCAGCAAGCAGCTGTGGTTCCACTCAGGTCACACGTGGAAAATCAAGTTTCTATGTCAAACTCACCACAAACAAAGTTCTCACTGAGATTAGTCGATTGTGAAAGTTGTAACTTCTGTTATTTCCTTTTTGGAGATGAAAATATATGAAGAAAATGTGCTTCGACGCATGAGAAATATTCGAATATTGAATATCTCAAGATAAGAGATATTAGAAAAGTTGAAACGTGCACAGTCAACTAGTCTTATTGAGAACTTTCCTCATGCGAAGGTGGAAGTCGAAAGTCAATTTTCCTTGTGACTTGAAGGGACCACAACTTGTTTTTCTAAACCTTGTTGACAGACATTATCAGGAGACTGAGCCCTACTGGGTCCGTATAACTTTCTATTTGTTACGCGAGTGTTTGAACAGAACAATTAGTTTGTAAGAATAAAATCGAAAAAGAAAGTTGTTCATTTAGTGATATTTCGAAATGACAAGAAAGGTTGAATTGTTTAGAATATAATGTGAATAAGGACATCTTATTGTCATATAGAATTATACTGAATTAATTGTGTTATATTTAGCTTATACAATTTACATTTATTTTTAGAACAACAATTAAGTGGTGAAGAAAACGAAATCTTAGGTGATGATCGATCGGATCTTATCAGTGAAGAGTCTGGTGAAGATTTATTTGCTGATAATTTTGAACGGTAAAATCTCAATAACATTTTCTTTTTTGTGTTTAATGAATAAATTTTTTGAAACTAAAAAAAAATTAGAGATTATGAAGCCATTGATGAATTAGATCGATATGAAGCAGGTGGAATTGATGATGATGAAGAAAATGATAGAGAACTTACTGTTGAACAACGTCAACGTGCTGAAAGAGAAATAAAACGACGTGAACGTGAAAGACGTCGTCGTCTTGGTCAAGAATTAAATGAAGAAAGTGATCTTGAAGAAGAAGATAGTAGTCTTATTGGTTTAGCTAGAAAAGGAAAACGTTCAAAAATACATGATGATGAAATTGGCATGGATGACGAATCTGATGCTTATATTAAAAATTTAGGTGATACACAAGGTCATAAAATAGCTGATTGGGTACAAATGCCTGGCCCACATAATGAAGTAATTCGACATTTTAAAAAATTCTTACGTACATTTAAAATAACAACAACAACTGTTGGTGGAACAAATAAACCAATTTATCGTGAAGCATTACGTCGTCTTGTACAAGAACAAAAACAATCAATTATTATTGATTTTGAACATTTAATGTCAGTGGATGAAATATTAGCATTTTTTTTACTGGGTGCACCTGAACAAACATTAAAAATATTTCATGAAGCTTTAACTGAATTATGTTTTGAACTTTATCCAAATCATCGATCAATTGAAAAAGAATTATTTGTACGTGTTAGTAATTGTCTTCAAAATGATAATATTAGAGATTTAAGGTAAAGAAAATAAAACTCAAAATTTTGTTTTTTATTTTTAATTTGAAATTTTAGAGTTGAACATTTAAATAAATTAATTGGTATAAGTGGAGTTGTAACAACATCAACAGGTGTTTTACCACAATTAAGTATAATTAAATTTAATTGTCAAAAATGTGGTTTTATACTCGGACCATTTACACAAAATCAAGAAAATGAAATTAAACCAGGTTCATGTCCAGAATGTCAATCTAATGGACCATTTGAACTTAATATGGAAGAAGTATATATTCATTTATTTAAAAAAAAACGATCAATCAAATTTCTTTTTTTAAGACAATTTATCGAAATTATCAACGAGTATCAATTCAAGAAAGTCCTGGTACTGTTCCACCAGGTCGTATTCCACGTTCAAAAGAAATTCTTTTACTTGGTGATCTTTGTGATATGTGTCGACCAGGAGATGAACTTGTATATTAAAGAGATTTGGTTTTTTATTTGTTTTTATTAAATTTTTTTTTTTCTATTAGGAAGTACTTGGTGTCTATCGAAATACATATAATATTTCATTAAATATACAAAATAATTTACCAGTATTTGCAACAATTGTTGAAGCTAATTATATATCAACACGTGAAGATAAAATTTCATTTGAAACTTTAACTGATGAAGATATTCAAGAAATTCAACGTTTATCAAAAGATCCAAAAATTGCTCAACGAGTAAATAAAATACTTTTTTTAAAATTTTGTTTTATTGTTTTCTTCTTTTAGATTTATGCAAGTATTGCACCATCTATTTATGGTCATGAAATGGTTAAAAAATCAATTGCATTTGCTATGTTTGGTGGTGAATCAAAAAATCCTGGTATGTCTCAAAAATTGAATAATTTTAGTAGGAATAAAGACTGTGGAAAAACAAATTGAATTGTTCAGTAATATGATGTTACGTTGGTCTTTTTTTTTTGGAAAAGACGGGTTGTTGAATGCTCTACTCGAAGTACAAAAGCAAAGTTTTATAGATATTGTCGAAATTTTTGATATAAAACAGTTTTTGTTGTATTGCTCTCAAATATATCGTCTAAAAACAATGAGTTCAATGCACAAATTGCTAGATTAAACTCCCCTCACTGTTAAAATAAATAGTAGAATAGAATTAAGCTTAACAAAATATTACAATGATAATTTAGCTTGGACTGAAGATGATGAAATGATGAATGTTTTAGTTTTTTACAGTACCTGCAATAGTCCATTGTATGTAACATTGATTTCATTAAAAAGATACATTGCAGTGTCCTGCCAAACTATGTGGAGAGACGTTCTTGTTCGAACGATTCTTTTACTAGGATCTTGAGAGACGCTGCAATCCATGTAAAAATGAGATTCGTTGTCAATCACAAAATAGACTTTTCCGATTTATCCTTGAGAGAAATAGTATGATGACGTAAATGTTAGTAGTTTATTGAAATTTGGAAAATAATTGTAAAGATTTCATCTTGTGATTTGAGTAAAACATTTAATAACACACCTTAAAGTGTTATTATATTTCTGAGCAGAGTTACATGTCGCAAAACTATTATCATATCCGATAGTGTTTTATAAGAATAGATGAAGAGTGTATAAGTGAAGAACATATTTAATGAGATGGAAGAAAAAAATGTATACTGCTTCATAGTGAAATAGTGATTTTATTCTATTAAAAATTGATTTATAATGTACTATTCGACAGGTACTAATATCGATTGATATTCGATTATAGTGTTAAAGAACAGTTCATTTTATTCTTTCCGCTATTGGTTCCACGAGTAGTACGAAATAAATATCGTTACCGTGTTTTGGCGGATTCGAACGTATATACTTTATTGTGTTGATGTCTAGAACGAACGAACTAAAAGATTACTTTTTCTTATATTAAAGGTGGCAAACATCAAGTGCGTGGTGATATAAATATACTCTTATGTGGTGATCCATCAACAGCTAAATCTCAATTTTTAAAATATATTGAAAAAACAGCACATCGAGCAGTATTTACAACTGGACGAGGTGCATCAGCTGTTGGTTTAACTGCTTATGTACAACGTAATGCAGTTACTAGAGAATGGACACTTGAGGCTGGTGCACTTGTACTTGTAAGTTTAGAATATGATTGTGATTAATTGTTCTATTTGAAAAAATATAATAATTTTATTTTAGGCTGATCGAGGTGTTTGTTTAATTGATGAATTTGATAAGGTCAACTTTTTTTTGTTCTTTATTTAATAAAAATTAAAAAATTAAATTTTTTTTTTCTATTATTAGATGTCTGATCAAGATCGTACATCAATTCATGAAGCTATGGAACAACAAAGTATTTCAATATCAAAAGCGGGTATTGTAACAACTCTTCAAGCACGTTGTTCGGTTATTGCTGCAGCAAATCCAGTTGGTGGACGATATGATCCAGCATTAACATTTATGAATAATGTTGATTTATCGGAACCGATTTTGACACGTTTCGATATTTTATGTACTGTACGTGATATTGCTGATCCTGTTCAAGTAAGTGTTTTTTGTTTTCTTTTTTTTATAAATAGAATTCCTAATAAATTTAAATTTAGGATGAATTAATGGCTCGTTTCGTAACAGAAAGCCATATGCGTCATCATCCATTAGCTGATGAAAATGATGCAGAACAAAATCATGTAAAATATTCTATTCCATTTCTTTAATTTTTATATTATTGAATATTTCTTTTTTTTTTTTTTTTGTAGGTTGTCCCTAATATATTCAATGTTGAACCAATGCCACAAGAAATCTTTAAAAAATATATAATTTATGCTAAAAGACGTATTCATCCACGTATGACATCGATTGATCAAGAAAAAGTTGCTCAATTATATGCAAAATTACGACGTGAATCATTAGTAACTGGTAGTGTACCAGTAACAGTTCGACAAGTTGAATCAATAGTTCGTATTGCTGAAGCACATGCACGAATGCATTTACGTGATTTTGTTAATGATGATGATATTAATGTTGCTATTCAAGTTGTACTTCAAAGTTTTATTGATGCACAAAAATATGGTATTATGCGAACAATGAAAAAAGTACTTTTTTCTTTAGAATGAAAAATAAAGAATATTTCTGTTATTGTTTTTTTTTTTTTGTTGTTTAATTTTAGGTATTTCAACGATATTTAACATATAAAAAAGATAATAATGAATTTTTGTTGTTTTTATTAAAACAATTATTTCAAGAAAATTTAGCATTTCAACGAAATCGTTATGGTGCTGATCGTGTTGCATCAGCTGGAGCCGCAATTAAAATTTCTGAAGAAGATCTTAAGAGTCGAGTATGTTGTGTTTGATTTGGTTTATGAAAGATTTTTTTTTGTATCTATTCTTAATATTATTCTAGGCTCGTCAATATAGTGTATTAGATTTAAAACAATTCTATGAATCACCATTATTTCGTTCGCATGGATTTAAATATGAAGATAAATTTATTACACAAGTTCTTTAAATATATAATGAATATTATTAGATAGATATATAAATAAATAAATAATCTCTATTTTTTGTTCTCCTCTATATATAGATATGTCAGATATTTTTCTGTATTATTCCTCATGTTTATTTTTCTTATATTAAATGAAAATAAAATAGAAGTCTATATGTATTTTTGTTCATTTATTAAAAAAACAAAAAAAGAATTATGAAAATATCTTTTTTTTTCAATGTATATTCAATTGCTCATTAATCATAGGAAGGAAACTCAAATTTTTTCATCATAGATAATACATTGATATAATTTAATACTCGTGGAAATAGTATTAAGATTCATGTATGATTGTTGTTGCTGGTTGAAACGTTTTTTTTTTCTCCAATCAAATATTGAAATTAGCAATGCCTACGCAGAATCTGTTTATTTTTACAATGTCGATCATATAGTAGCGAGTATAAATTTAGAGCAGTTGTATTTTTAAGGTTGCTTCTCGATGATAATAGCTAGCACAAATCTGAAAAAACATTTATGTAGTTAAAAAGATTCTCTATTAGGATTTTGATTTTCATTCGAAGTTTTTGAGAAAAAGCTTCTTTATTTGATGAAGCAAATAATTCTGAACAAGATAAGATGTTGTCTTTGATCTCTTCATGATCTTTCTTCATCCGACTGTATTCAATTTACAGAAGGCTCAAGACGCATTCTTCTCTTCGTTTTATTGCAAATTTCAATATTTTTCGCCAATGCAATAGAAGATGATAAAAATTAATTGAAAAAACTTTATCGACTTTTAACGACAACTACAAATAACATTTTTTGCATTACAAATAGTAGAGATACAAAATAGATATACATTCAGTGTTGATCGATTAGCATTAGGTTAGACACAGATTAATTAGTATGTTTGATTATCATTTACATTATTGAAGAAGAAATAGTTATAATTTTGCTATTAGCAGAAAGCAAACCAATGATTGTGAACAAAAAGAAGTTAGGTTTTTTGACCTTGCCTTGCGTTTATTTCTACAAAAGAAAAATTATTTAAAAATGGGTTATTCTCTTTGGCTTCTACCACCGACTAATTCAAAAATTGCTACATCTCTCATTTCTGCAATAAAATCTCTTGGTTGTTCATTTGCTCCACATGTTACACTTACTTCAAAAATTCCACTTTCTATGCCTGTTGAAAATATTAAATCATCTCTTAATACTTATTTTGCTAAAAATTCTTTACCTGATGTTCATATTAATACTTTGGATACAGGATCAGAATTTTTCAAACGTATATTTTTACGATGTCAAAAGACCGATTCTCTTGTTTCACTTGCTCGTTTTTCAAAACAAACATTTGTTGGTAATATTGAAGATATAGATAATTGGACAAATAATTACGATCCACATATTTCGTTAATTTATGCTGAAAAACAAGATTGTGATGATAAAGAATTAATTGATCGACTTGATACTTCAACATTGATTGATAAAACATGGCAAGGTGGAAAAATTCAATTAGTTGATACTAGTGGAATATTATCAGAATGGAAGACAGTCTTAGAATTTGATATTCCAAACAGTACATAGTTAAAAGTTTTTAATTATTTCATTTGTAGATAAATTCATGCAGGTGAAAAACGAGATCAATATATTTTATTAATCTTTATTGAAGTACTAAACATCAGTGTTCATACAGATAATCTAGCTTGTTAAACTTATTTTAATAAATATTTTCAAATGATTTTCTTGTTTTTTTTTCTTTTATAGAAAAGTAATATTATATTAAAGTTGAGATAATTTATTTTGTGTTCTATTCCTTTTCTTTTTTACCGATGACAACGAAGAGATTTTCATCATGTGAAAGATCAATAGAAATCATTTAGTTGATATCATTACTGTCCTGTATAGTAGTTATGTGTTCAATCAGGTTTAACAGTGATATTTCGTGTAAGAAATAAAAATTTTCTTCATCAATTGTTTTGCTATTCAAATTCATCTAATTGAATCGGACAGAGTTAAAGAAAGATGAATAATTTTATCGAGTGCATACGTAATTACACATGAACATTATTTATCCTTTAAAAATGTTCAATCGCTTTATTCTTTCGTCTTAGTAAAATGCTGCACAAAATAAAAAGCTTGAATACATATAACAAAAATATAAAACTATATAGAAGCTTAGCAAGTTTAAAATAAAAATGAATAATATATCAATATTAGAATTTTCCAAAAATTAAAACGTGATTGTTTCAACACCAGATGTGGTCTGTTGAATAGCAGCAAAAGCAGTTTTAAGTACCACTTTGCTAGAGAAGAGAACATTTGTTTTTTATTAAGAAAGTATCAGATAAATATTCAGTTACTTACATTGTTCCATCTGATTTTTCATCAAACATTTTATAAGCTTCATCAGCTAAAATAAATAATCAATATTGAAGTATCGATATATAAATAAAATAGAATCAACCTCGTGATAATTCCATTGTATGTGTAATAATAAAAGTTGGATCAACTTCCTAAAAATTGAAGAGAATGAAGTTTTTTTTTCTGATCAGTAATACCTAATTGTGAAGAAATAGCTTACTCCATTTTCAATAATTTTGAGGAGATCATGCCAGTAACTTTGACAGTATAATTGACCACCTCGCATTGTCACAGCTAAGAGAGACAATATATTATAGATAGAATTTTTCTTTCATTTTTAATCGAGAATTATAAAAATAACATACCTTTTTCCATGAAAGCACCTAAAGAATAAAAAAAAAACTATTTTTTCTTAGAAATTTCACGAAAAATATTCTTACCAATGGGAAACATATTAGCTGTTAAAAAGCTGGAAAGAAAAACATGAGGTATTGTTTGATCAAAATTGAATAAAGATTATGCATTATGATAATAACTTACTAATCTCCAATGACAGCGATAGTTCCACCTTTTCGAACAACAGTAACTGCTTCGCCTAATATTTCAGGAGTATCCGTTTCAAGAAAAACAGCACGTTGAATTTTATGTACCAAACCTATGATTAAAAAAAAAGAATACACCAGATTTTCTGTAAAAGATAATTTCATAAAATTAAACTATTGATAAGATTTTCATGTCTCGTTCTATTTGGGATCCATATAGAAAAAAATCTTACCTTTCGTATAACGAAAACCGACTGCATCGATACATACATCAGGACCGCCTGTAAAAAAAATTATTGTAGTATTCACATAATAAATATTAAGAATCTTACCTGGTAACATCTTTTGCATAGTATCAATGACATCGACTTTAGAAAAGTCAATTGTTTCAGCACCTTGTGATCGAGCTTTAGCTAAACGTTCTTCAATACAATCAATTGAAAAGATTCGTTTTGCACCTCTATATTTAGCCCACATAACGGATAACAAACCAACAGGACCTGCACCCCTATATAGCAAGAAGATACACTAACTTAATAACTCATTCAAGTAATAATAATTCATTCTTAAGATTAAGATGAATTCATCATAAATTTAAACTTATACGACTTAGAGAAAAAAATAATCAATTAAACTGTATTCTAAAATGTTTGGAGTTATAATAAAAATATAGTGTAAATTCATTATCAATAGTATAGTATAACTCACCAAATAGCTACTGTTGTTCCTGGACCGACCCCTCCCATAACATTTGCATGCCATGCTGCAATATTTACAAATGATATTACCTATATTCTAAGATAATTAAATAAAAAACCATAACTAACCAGTACAAACAATATCACTAAGAAACAAAACTTGTTCATCAGTTAATCGATTATTTTCAATCTTTAGCAAATTGACATCAGCAAATGGAACACGAACCCATTCAGCTTGACATCCATCATAACCTCCTGAAGTTAAAATTGGAAATTTTAATTAACTAGTCATGATTTTTTTCAAATAGCACCTGTTAAATGAGAATAACCAAATGCTCCACAAATGCGATGACCATAGAGTTTTTCCATTACTTTGGAGTCATTTGTAACATCACATAATGAGAACATGCCAGTCTTACAATCTAAAGAAAGGACAAAGTATCAAAGAATATCAATTAATCGATACAAGAATGTACTGTAATGTTCTTATTGAAGTAACTTAAAATGACTTACATTCACATTGTCCACAAGCAATGGGCGCACTGACAACAACACGATCGCCAACTTTTATATTTTTAACATTACTGCCAACGCTTTCGACAATACCCATACCTTTTAGCAAAAAAATTCATAGTATAAAAACGAACAATTAATATTAAAAAACTCACATTCATGACCAATAATATCTTTTGCTTTCATACCTTTCATATCTCCGTTATCTAAGTGAAAAATTAGAATAAACATGATTTAAGAAAAGCACATTATTTAGTTTCTTACACATATGTAAATCACTTCCACAAATTGTTGATGATGTTACATGAATAATGGCATCTGTATCATCGGTTATTATGGGTCGAGGTCGTTGACTTACTCGAACATCTTTTTTGCCCTAAAAAATCGTATAGGATTCTTTTTAAATATGAAAAACTCTACATAGTGTTGTATTAAAAAAAAGCTTACATGCCATTCAATTACAGTTGACATTAAATTTGAATCATATTTAGGTGAAATAGTTGGTGGTGTAATCGGAGACTTTTGAACTTCATCACGAACAGATTCCATTGGATAAGTTGCGAACGAAGACACTATCATAGACAGTTGGTTAAATGAAATAACAGGTAATAGTTAGGAAATACTTACTAATATGTTGATGTCCCCATTTTTTATCAACGCATTTCGATTGATCAAAGTTAACGAAATTCTTAGTGCTCATTTTGATTGTTCGAAACGAAATCTACAGTCGAACAAATATTAGTTAGTAGACAGTCTTCAATAATATAATAAAACAATGTTAAAGGAAATATTCTATTCTAATAGTATTGTTATGAAAGAATTTATAGTATCTTATTGAATAGATACAATATACTCTTTTCACCTTTAAAATATGTTTTTTCTCCAAAAACTTTTAGTTATAATAATAATGGCAAAAAAATTATAAATAGACCTTCTTGAAACTGCTCACCCCAGTAATATAAGGCAAGATTCGAACAGATAAAAATGATGAAGAAATTCGCGGTGATAGAGTCTCACATAAAAGTGATGTTAAAAATATCATCATTTGTGTTTTCTACTCTGTGGCGTGAGGAGAGGCAATAAATATAACTCTTTTTTTTGGTATGGTGCAGAACGAAAGAAAAAACGCACTCTTGTCAACACGTGTTCATTCACGTGACCTTTTTCTTCAGTGTATGTTTTGTTATGTTGAAAACTACATTTGTTTTTTGACTGGTTCATTGAAAAGCATGTTTTATCAATGCAAAGAACAATACTTTCACACGAAAACAAATAATATAGGAGAAGACTGAAAAGGAGACAGAAACCTACTGGAGATAAATTTGATCGCACATCATCATCATCATCAAGTACAGAATATTATTCGTTGTTTTTTGACACTACTATATACTATTAAGTTAAAAAGTTAACGCGTACATCTTTCATCCTTTTCTATCGATTTCTGACAAAGTTAATCTTTGTGCATTTTTCCATTTATACATATTACTACCTGTTTTTTTTCATGTAAACTTTTTATATAGATGAAATGTTCATTATAATGAGTTAATATCTTGTGTTTTCATCTTGTCTCAATCGAATGTATCCTTAGTCTTTCGTAATTGTATTTTCTAATAATTATTCAATAGGCTCATATCTAAGAGAGCTGTGTGACTACATGTTATGATATTCGTTGTAATAGAAAAAAGCGCTTTCAATAAATCGGAACTAATGTTTGAAAATTATAATCAGTTATTAAAGTAGTACTATCATGGAATGATTTGCCATATTAAGTATTCCATCATCTTATCGACATGAAAATTTCAAACTTTTATTCTACTTGAAAGTATATTTGTTTGCACATTTGTACGTGACTCGGACTTATCGACAACTCTTTTATTACTTAGAAGCGTAAAAGTCAAATAACTGTTCATTTTTAGAGAAGATTACAATTAATTATTGTGAAATCTTTTATCTATTGTATATTCAAAACCGTTAATTTGCTGAAAATTCCTTTTAGGCTAATTTAGTCGTGTTTCAAAATCATACACACATATTTGAAACTTTTTTCAACGCTTAGGTCAGGTCTAGTTATCAGCATGTTTGCAATTTATTTGAAAGAGGTAAACACTTAGGGCATACCAATAGTAGTGACGCCGACACTGTAATAGTTTACAGAAGGCTTTAGAAAATATTTTCTCTATATATTCTGATAGCTCAAGTTGTGCTCTATAATTCTATGATATTTCATAAATCTTCAAACAATATATAATATTGAAAACAAAGCAAAAAAGTGAGTAGTTTACAAAAAAAGTTTTTTGAAGCAAGTTTATCCAGCTTTTATTAGATCAAATGTTCAAAATAATCATCCTGATTGTTTACACACGCCTCCATTCGTTGAATCCGTTTATCAAAAGTTTTTTTTATACTCTTATTTTTTTAATGACTTCATAAATTTGATCACAACTTCATGGAACGATTCGGAATCATCTTGATCGCCTAGATTTTGTTTGATTAAATCAAACAACCAAAAATTGCATGGAACCAGATTTGAAGAATTAGGTGGATATGGCATTATTGTTACGCCTTCCGATTGAAGATAATTGACTACATCGTCATGAATATGTGCTTTTCCATTATCACGATGAAGTTTAATTGATGGAATACCTAAGGAAGGCCGTTTGTTCTGAATCTCATCAATAACTGGTCGCAAACAATTATTGATGTAATATTGATGATCGATTGTTTGTCCACATTTAAAAGAATGAATCAAAACTGGACCAGTTGACTTGAAGAAAATAGTTAGAAGAGTTCTTGGAGCAAAATGACTACGTCGAGCCACCGTTGGAGGATAATTTCCACTTGCTACCCAAGCAGCATTCGATGATTTTTCGACCGTTTTGCTTGTGATAAAACTATGATTCATTATCATTTACTACATCACATAATCTCCAAGCATCTTGTTCAAATTTTAACAAGTTTTCTTGACATATTCGTACTTATTCAGCCTTTCGAAAGCTCGTCAGATGTTTGAGAACATATCATGCAATAATTTTTTTCAACTGCAAATGATCAGAAATAATTTGTTGGACGGTTTCATATCTTATACCACTTTGTGCTTCGAGTTCGCCAACTGTAACATACGGATCATCATTAATAAGATCGCAAACTTGTCTAATATTTTTAGATGTTGTCTTCGTTATAGGTCTGCCAGGTCTTTCTTCATCTTCAACTTCTACTCGACCTTCACGAAACCATTTTGACCATCTTTGAACAGTTCTGAGAGAAGGAACTTCATTACCAAAGACAGTGCGTAATTCATTATGAATAACTATTGGTTCAATATAAAGCGCAGTACGCACTTTAATATAGAAACGAAAATATTCTTTATCCATTTGAAAAGAACTGAATACTTTTGATCGTTTTATGATCTATATTGCAAACAATATGCTATATTGTCTTCTATCTATTATTCGTGTTCTCTTCTTTTTTTCTTTTTAATTTTCTCCTATCTTCTCTTTCTTTTCTCTCTCTTTTTAGCTTCTTTGATATTTATCTTCGTTTATACATGTGATACACTCGTGCTCTGTTTATTTTTTGTTTTATGTGTGTAGTAAGTTCTTGTATATTGTCAAGGTGAAAATTTTTAAAAGCTGCAGAAAACTTAAGAGTATCAAAACTTTTGCTTATATGATATCACTTAAAGATTTATGAAATATCATGGAATTATAGAGTACGACTTGAGCTATCAGAATATATGGAGAAAAAAATTTTCTAAAGCCTTCTGTAAAATATTACAGGGTCGGCGCCACTACTTTTGGTATGCCCTAAGTAGTATAGAACTTGTTACTAGAATTCGATGATGTTGCTCGAAAAAATATCTAATCATCTAGGAAATAATTTCTAAATACTGATGAAACTTCATAGTCGAACTTTTAATAGACAAAATCGGATCGAAATCCACTGACATACTATTTGTACAATCTCATGTCGCATCGGTTATCACTGTTCAAGTCACCAGCAACAATAAATGAAGAAGTGAAAGCAAAATTCTCATGTGTCTTGTGACTGTTAAGTGTTCTGTTTCCATTTTCAAGAATCAAACCTACATTTTTCGTGCCGAAGTTAGCAACATCAATATCCGATAGATTGTCACCGTTGTAATCGGCGACCGCGACTGCGTACGAATGAAAATTAGAGCCAGTTACGAGCATGTTTTATTTTTCAAAGTTGTTTTTATCCCACACAATCACACAAGAATGAATCCAATGTTATTAGTGCCGTACTCTGCAACAACAAGATCAAGTTGATCATCATTGTTTAAGTCAGCAGCACCAACACTTTTTAAACGACAACCACTGTAAGGTACAAACATTCCTTTGTTCATAAGAGCTCCACTTGATATTCTAAGAAGTATAGTTACGTCGTTACTCTCTTCATTAGAGACGACGATATCTAGTAAAGCCTTCGACACATTAGAAGACTTCCCTAATAGAGGATCCCTCGAATAAACGACGCACAAGACAGATTAGAAGATTCCCCTGTAATAGTTGATTCGTTTAGTTTTACTATCATGTTTATACTTTTTATTTCTATATGTATATTTCTAATCTTCGCTTCAAAAATATTTTTCTGTTTCTTTTGACGTTCAAGGCGGTCTGTACTTGTATAATATAAAATGTAATTAACAGACTTATGTATATTGCAGGCGAAAACCAATGCCCGTTATGATCAAGTTCAGTTTTTTTCATGTACATTCTTCTCTTTTCACTAAAAATCACTTTTATGATTGTTTCCATAACTGAATAAACATAGAACATCTCTTATGGACAATGATCTAAGTTCAAATTCTCATCTATTGTCATCAAATATTGATCATGATCATATTGATCAAGAATCTGATTCAGAAAGAGATGAACAAAATACAAGTTGAATAACGAAAACTCAATACAAATGGCTGATCTTGAAAGACATGCCGAAAAATTCAAAACTTAACTTTTTTCTATTTGATGGTATGAAATAACAGCATTTTATGAGTGAGTTCTTTTATCTTGTGAAAAATTGTCCTTCTATGAAATGTAAATTAATCGTACTTTGTCTGATTTAGTATATTTCATGATAAAGATAGTCGTTTTTGTGAAATATTCTCTAGTATAATAGAATATAGACTGTTTTTGTTAACTGTACTAGCGTAGAAAAATGAAATAAACGTTTAGTAATGACATAACCAGCGTAAAAGGACTTTTATAAAAATTATATCGTTGAAGATTACAAAAAATATGATTTTTTTGGGGGGTCATAATAGAAGACCCTCTTTGCAACTCGTGAACGATAAGGCACAATAGAAGATCCTGAGTCTTCTAATGTGTCGACAGGTTTCTAGTATCCTTGTTCAAATCATTAACATCTGCAAAGAAAGGCACAATGCAAATTGTAATTATCATTTGGTTTGAAAAAGAGCCGTTTCCATATCCGAAAAGTACATTTACACTATTACTGACATATTAACGACGACGATATCTATCAGAGTGTCATTATTGAAATCGCCAAGAGTAACAAATAGTACAACATGCCTTTTCAATGTTTGTTATATTCAGACATAGATGATACTGATAATAGCATTGTATCTTTAAATCAAGGCTAAGTACAAGAATTATGATCGCCAATCATTTTCAAAGTATGCCATGTTAACAAAAGATTTGTACTTTATTTGTTATAAAAATAATTCCGTCATCACAGAATTAAGAAATGATCTGATATTGTTCAAAACTGAACAGTTTTTGTGTAGAAAGTTTATTAGTATGTCGCTTTGTTTCATAGTAAAATGCTAAACTCTCCGCATCGCTTTAAAAAAACTTTCAGTTTTTGAAATTCTGTAACCGTCGATATTTTCTGAATGCCTCAGCTCGAGCTAAAGGAAGATCAATGAAACTTTTACTGGGAGTAGATCTAAATGATCTCTTCCTATAATAAAAGTTTCAAGGAATTTGCTTCCACTATTAACGAAAAAATAAATGTAACAATGTAAAAAAAACTAAAAATTCGTGACACTTGGCCACACAGAGAACTCAAACGATTGATCATGAGCTATTCTGATTGTGAGTATTGAAAATTTGTTCTTAGTGTCGCGACATGTACTTTTTCTAGCTAATGCATTTGCAAAAGATATAGAAGAAAATGTAAAGATAATAAAAATTTCATTGAAAAAAGATTAGTTTTCAACAGTCTTCTTGTTCTCTTGAGTTCATCTATGTATAAATATTGATATTCCGGCGTCTTTATCACTACTTATTGCTACTCTGCTTATTGGCTATTTTCTCTTTAATATTTTTAATTAATTCTTCATGGTTGCCTGTAATAAATAAGCGTTGTTTCCAATCATTTATAGCCATCGATGGCGCCTCACTTTGCAAATGAGTCAGTAAACCAGATTTATCATGAGTAAAGACAAGAACTGGAACGTGACTTAAACTATTATCACTCAAGAAACGTAATAAATGCAATGGATTTTTATCTTCATCTTTATAATAACCACGACATATTATATGAAACGTTGATGATAATGTGATTTTATCCTTGTGTTTCAAAATATGAGCTTCTGCTCTTGGTAATGTTTCACAGAAGTCGATTTTAACATTTTTGTCATTTTTCAACCGTTTCTCTATATGACCGTTTTCACTGGTTTTTTTATCGATCCAAAGAATAAACGAAATTTGAACTTCGTTCTTCGGTGATACTGCCGTGTGATGTTCAACATTACTATTTACTGTCTTTATCGTTTTCCATACGAAAGGAACTACTTGTCCATTTTGTGATATGCTAATAAAATAGTTAAAACTATCATTTAATTTCCAAAAAAACTTATAATCGAAGTTTTGATAAGGATAGTTTTGTGGAATATAACATCGCTTATTTTTATCAACATTCCAATCATATGGATTCAGAATACTTGTATCTCTCTGAAGAGAAGAGTCATCGCAGGCCACTTTTATGATATGTATATTGTAACAAAGTTGCATATTACACATATATTGATAAGGAATGTAACAGTAGCCCTTATCACCCTAAAAATAAATCAACATACTGTATATATTTAGATAGGAGTACATGTTATTAGATTTCAGGTCATTTCTTGTCATTGCGATTCACCTATACAACTGCTGATATAAAGTGGAAAAAAACTTTTTTGGTAATAAAACCTCTGAATTTGTAAGGATACTCTATGCAAGTGTAGATAAAAAGGCTTTTTTCTCCAATAATCAACAATTTACGATATTTCTAATCTGTAAATATGTTATCTAGAAAGAATCGATCGAGATGAATACATGTTTGTGTATGAGAGCTTCGTTTAGTTTCCAAGGCTATTTATGGTTTATTGCAGAGTCATTCATCTGAATTTAATGATACATTCAGCTACACAGATAGTGTTCGACAACTACTATTTCAGATCAATGATTAGAGAAAATGCAGATGTGTCGATGAAAAATAGATTCGATACTCAATTTTGTATCAATACGTACGTTCAAATGAAAGAAACCAAACATGGAACAATTCAACTTCTTTTGCGTTTCTTTCAGTGTGACCTCTAAGAGAATGTTTCTTTGTCTTATATCTACAGTGAACAAGAAAGACTTATGCGATCTAGTCTTGCTCTGCAGAGAACAAAGATAGAAAATTTCTTGAATTTGTCCTTCTAATTCAACCCTCATATGACTTTTTTTATGAGGAAACCTAACATATCTTCGATCAATGATTCATATTAAGCTAATGTTAACAGCTGATGAATGTCAATACGCATTCCTAAAAATCCTAGAAATCAGTATCAAACTTACCCACTTTTCACCCCATGAATTTCTAACAATGAAACATCCTGATAGATCACTATATCCCACTGCCAACATCGCGTGGCAACCTTGTTCAGCACTTTGTGATTCATAATGTATGTTTGGCATTTGTACACGTCCTCCATTACTTCCAGCTTGCGCAAAGGATGGAAATAATCGAAGACCAAATGCAAATGGATACGCCTCAGCCAGGCATCCTCTCATTTCATTTAATTCTACACGTGCCGTCATGGCTTCCATGATACGATGCTTTTCAGCTTCTAAATAACACTGCGGTGGTGGCTTTAGGTTGACGTTTGCAGGATTGTATGGGTACATTTCTTCTTTGCAACAGCCGTAATCTATCAATCCTTGAACAGCACTCGCAATATGAGTACCTTTATCTATCATCTTATTCTCTTGAAGCTTATCTATAATACGGGCGTTGTAGTATATAAATAAACGACTAACATTAACCTTTTTTCTGCTATTTTTCATTATTAAAAATTCATGTGCGCCTATAATGTTATTTGTGAATTGTTGATGAATAATCACAATGACACTTTACCTGCTAGTACGTTTCCAACACTAAAATGAAAAAGTATTACACAAAACTCAGTCAAATAAATATATATGAATCAAAAGCAGTTGTAGGATGAAATAAAACATTTTGTTGCATATCAATAGCATTACTAAGAATGTTTGATTTTGAATGATATTTTCGGATCTAAACAAAAAACTCAAGAAATACTAACCATGAATTGAGATTGTCTTGATGCTCAACGGGCGACATAAACTGTCTTAGATCAACTGATGAAGGTAATTCCAAATTTGAAAGGCATCGGGCACCTCCAAATCTCGGTAGATTCGATGGTTTGTCACTGATTAAGCAGCCTCCAAGACGAAAACGATCTCCTGTTTCCGGATCAACTAAATATTTATCTTCTGCCATAAGAATGAAATTTGTTTTTGATAATCTATAGCAAGAAATAAAAGAAATATTTAATCTAATTTTCTAGAGAATGAATACTCTTTTGTAACTATTTCCACTAAGTAATGAGAAGAAGAAAAACACATGTAGTAAAGATTTGTACGATTTATCATGATGTTAAGAAGTTTTCATCATATTATTATTCTGAAATCGATGATTATATATTCATGTGTAAGTAACTACTTAGTTCAGAATTCAAAGTTATGACATTTTGATCAAAGTAAATGTACATGATGTAGAAGACTCATTTTCAGTACAGTTTTGGAATAACATTTGTTTGTAAATATTAATTTAATGAGTACAATTCTCAATTTGATTGATTATATTGATACGTTGAAACCAAATAAAATAACAAAGAAATGCATCTTCAAGATGTTTCTCTCGTAACTTTTGCTTTTCAGTGGAACTTATATTTTGTTTCTAATCTATTCAATTAAAACAAATGAATCGACGAAGGGTTTCCAAGAGATGAAAGAGTTGTATGTTGTACATATGTTGCGATAAACTATCAAATATGATGAGAGAATATTCGATCAATTATCGACAGTTCAGTACACTTTTTGTTTTGTTCTTTTCAATTGTCTCGATCGATGCACTCAATTCATGATATACTGATGACAGGGATATGGCGTGACTTAATCTGCTAATATTTAAATATGCAATTTCTAAACATATAGCATTTTTTCTTTATGGGAGGTTACAAGATGACACATATGATTACTGTTATTAATCTACTAATATTTAGAAATAAAGTGATAAAGTTCACGACTCGAAATTTCAATAGAGAAACCGATTTCGCATTGCTTTAGAAAGAAATCATCGTTCTATCAGGCTGCTAAAGCAAAGTTTCATGCAAAATAATTGTATCTCAAGCATTTCAGTACATCCGATAGACAGAGTCCATATTCTTTACCATAGTAGTATGAATTGAAAAATCAAATGCAGCACTGTAAGTTTTTATAGCAGTGCAAATGTTCCTTCATTTATCAAATGAAGATATTAATCAAACAAGCATGATTAAATATAAATAATTAGTTATGCAATAACGAAAAATTCACTTATTATGTTCTTCTTCTGGTGTGATATCGAAAAATAAAATTCAAAATACTTGATATCTCTTCCGGACATAGTTCAGTAATACAGAATAAATTAACATGTTGTTTAATCAGCTAATATTTATCACTGATATCGTATCAAACACATTGGATAGTGACCTTCTCAATCTCAAGTTCAAATCTCATCAACATAATTTTTGAATTTCGATAATAAATTAGAATATGCACGCGGCTATACCATAGAGATCTCTATAAACTACAAAAACGAATGTGTTTTACATCTGAATTCCGTTACAAAAACCATGATGGTCCTATGGTTAGATATTTGAAAACATGTTTACCTACTGTTTTGTTACGATCGATTCTGTACACGACGTGTCGAATATACAAGGAACAAGAGAGACTCGCCTGTTATATACACACATGGCAATAGAGAAAATAGGAGCGTGACGGATTTTTTTCATTACTGATTAATAATTATAGATAAGAAAAAGAAACGAAATAAAAGAAAAACTAACGCTCGTCAAATACACGTGACAGAAGAGAAACATGCAAGCAAGGTTTTACCTTGCTCCGGGCATATAGAAAGAGAGAAAAAAGAAAAACAATTAGAGCTTAATGAAGCGAAACTTCTTCGTCAATACAATCCTTTCACTAAAAGTATAAGAAAAAAAATTTTGCTTCATTCTCACATTATATGAAGTCTAGTACAAATGCAATCAAAGACGGCAAAACTTTGTTGACTAGATTCTAGAACTTCTTTCTTTCTATCAATTGAGTATTTATGTTTGGTTATTTGATCAGGAGTCTGGTGCAAATAATTGTAATATGAAAGCTTGTTCGATACAAAAGAACCTCGGACTTCATTCAAACTTTCAGAGTTTGCTGTGTTTTCAAAGCTAATCATTTTGGTAATATAGAAGTTTACATTTCATACGAAAAATCAGAAAGATATGGTCAAAATATTGTAGACGCCTCTTTCAGACTAAGATGTAATCTCACCCTTACGATAATCATATTGCGTATTCATACGATTCTGTCGAGATTTTTATAGTAGATTTGATTAGTCCTGATGAAACTAGCTGAGACTATATGTACGCAGAAACTTTGTTTTGGACATATATAGAATCTCTGATTAACAAAGCAAAAAGTAGTGTGAAAATATTTCTTCCATCGTACTCCACAAAATGGTATTCTTCTACTTGATGAAGTAAAGAGTTCGATAGAACAAAATTTGCTTTATCTAATAACATTATTTTCTTTGTATGTGAGCCGTATTCTGATGTCAAAACTTAGCTAGAAAAGAAAAAGCCACAAATTCTCATCAAATCTAGATTAGGAATCGACCAGCTCTAGCTCATAAGTTACGTTCTAATGAGCTGATGAACTATTGAAACATGTCAGTTCTGATCAAAAGAATTGTTCGAACAGTTTCTCTGATCTGGACTGATCTATTTCAACAGTTCTGTGTCTGCTTCTGAGTTGTCCGAAGAATTTTGTTCAGTTTTGGGAAGGGCATTTCCAGTAACAAAACAAAAGTTTTTGACACTCCAACGGACCATTCTAATAAATGGAACAAAATTTTTTCTAATTGCTTAGTTCTCGAAGCTGAACTATCGAAACGGATTAATTCAGATCAAAGAACGTTTTCAACAGTTCCTCAGACCGAAAGTAGAACTGAACCTGCCGACCCCGAATCTCAACTGAAAGGAGACAATGCTTGCCATAATGGAAATCAATTCATTGCTCCTGTTGCATTGAATTACATAGGAGAAGAAAGTCCATAATCAGGTAGATATTTCAGTGTTAAATTCAACGGGTTCAAATTAGAACAGATTGACTTAGGTATACACATAAAGTGCTACACTTGTTCCTACGACAAGCAGACTATTGATTGGAAAAGTATTGAACTACAAATGAATAACTCTACTATATGATTTCAATGACATCATGTCAGAGCTTTAACTAAGATATATGTCGTCGTTCGAATGTGCATTAGTTTGTTTGTTGTATAGCAGTGCGTACTAATCCATTAGAGGTCCACTTGAGAATAGCCAGTCATTCTGTGACCTGAGTTTGCTATAAAAATGGCGGTAGGCAAAGATTTTCAGTGTGAGGCTGACAGTGGGTGTGAAAATAAATAAGTTTGGCGTGCTATGATAGTTCAGGTCTTTCTTAAGAGTCTCAATAGATGACTAAGATTTTATGTATATGTGTTCAAAATGTTTCAACATGAATCATAAGTAAGATATACACATTAGTCTAAAACATTTATTACAACTTCAAAGACATTTAGCAACTTAATATATTTGTATATTATTGGTGAGCCTAACAAGCATTATAGCGTTTTCATCTTCACTTAATGAATCTTTAGATGAGTTTGACGTTTATTGAATATAGTATCTGTTTGAAATGTTTCAAAAGAAAGAATTACAAACAAGATACATGATTCGATTCTATTGTGAGTAAATTCTATGAGAAGTGCATAATAATGATAGTCGATATTTTTTGGTTTTCAATGTGTGGATAGATACCAAGTTAATGTCTGTTTAGAGGTTTCAGAAGAAGATGGTATTGAGTCAAAGAAATATGTAAGATATTGAACTCTGGATTTGGAAAACAAACGGTTTTCGTTCAAGTGTGATATAAAGGCGAAGGTGAGTAAGCTCTTCATTTGACGTTAATCCTTACTCTTATCTTCACCTTCATAGGTGCACATTTACGATCGCACACTCACACTTACTCTCACACCGACTCACTCGGCTTCATGAGATGAATGACATTCTCACTTGTCTATTGCGTTTTTTATCTAAAAAGTACTTGGCGTAGAAGCGATGTACGTGTTATGAACTGCATCCAGAATGATGCAGTTCATAAGAATCGATCTAACCAGAATTGTAAGCGCACTATTCTCTTCCACTGATCTGATTCTCTCCATCACTGTATATTCCGTTTCTGTTAGGATTTTTCATTTCCTTTTATCATTTCTTTAGATATATTCCAATCTTGTCTCTATTGATGTTCATCATCGATAGACTTTTCTCTTTTCTTCTAGGAATAGTTCTAAATCTAAGTATAATCACTAGCCTATACATAATTATTATTTCTATAATGTACGAAGGGCAAGCGAACTTAGTTTGATAAACATTAAGAGTGTCTGATTTTCATTCTATAAATAAACTTGTATGTACAACAACGCACTACTAAGTACTGAAATGGCATGCATTATACAAATCATCAGTTACATGTTTTGGTCACATAAGCAATCTCTATCAGGGTAGGATTCTTTTACATTTTTGTGTTGAAAGGTGACCTCTAGTTGATCACATACTTTGGAGCTCGTAGATAACTATGTCTGAAAAAAATTCAAGATTCACTTAAATTGGTCCATCTTCTCTTATTTAACATGATTCCTATTCTCAGCTTTTTCATCGAAGAGAAAGCTATATACATGACATGAGACAATATCCATACAGGAGAAGATATCGAGTCAACAATCTACATCTTGGATATAATCACATCATAGATCTACGTGGGTATCGATGACATAGTACAGTGTAAAATATCCTTAGACGATCAGCACTCTCAAAAAGCATAGTAAGCTTGATTGAACATATGATAAAAGATAGCGTGATACAAACTAAATAGAGTCTCCTGTGATAAATTTATGTTCAAGTAAATCAGCAATACATCAATAAAGCGATTAAAATAGGAAAGCGAATGGTGAGATGCCAATAGTTGGCCGAGTTGAGTCAAGTAGCATACAAGTCTTGTTCATTCGACACTTGAAAAAAGTATCGATAAAGATTTTTAAGTTTGGAAAATAATAGACGATTATTGTTTGCTATTGAAGACAAGAAAGTCGATCAATTATCGAATACGCATCATTTGCTATTCGAAATTTTTACTGCAGAAAGAAACATAAATTGGTTGATGTCATGTTCTGATGATCTATGATATTTGTCATCATTGACTTTATGTCAATATTCATATCAAGATTTCTGTATAAGTTATCTTAGTACACATGCTCAACTTCGACGAGCAAAAAAGCATCGAATCGCTCAATCAAATCGAAATTTTGGAAAATCTAATCCAAGATTTTATTTGAAAATGAGCAAGCCAATTTTGCCGAATTTGATCAGTGATGACTATCAATGATGAATGTCATGAATCTGTTTTTCGAAGAAAAAAACAATGCTCTTCAATGAGTCTCAACGTCCATCGTCAAAAACAATGTGCTGATTCGTAAGAAACGAATTAATAACGTCGAGTTCAATTCGTTTATTAATCAAACTAGATTGGTTGAACAACAGATCGACATTATTCTATCATTTTCTCTCTCTATGATATCATTACTCATCGACGATTTATCGAAGTAAAGTGAGAATGACACGTTTCAGATTAACGTTTGTGATTGAGTCATCGAAAAAGAAATCAATTTTAAAATGAAACAATTCACATGATAAATATTAACATAAGATATGAGCACTGATTGAATGAGTAATTGCATATGCACTCTATCAACATTGATAAACCCGAAAGATAGTATAAGAAGGATGAGAATATGAGATGAGCCATGTGTAAGGACTTTCTCTGTATTATCACAATCATATACTCATTTTATCGTCACACCATTGCTCTAACATTAGCATTTTTATCTCTTTATACACGCCCTCGTTCTCACACCTGGCATAAGAGTAATGAAATGCATCATCATGTCATAATTTTGATCAAGAACTGTCATTCTATTTGATGCTCATGCAATGTTTTCTCAATTCTACAAAATGCATGTACAGAGAATGAAACGAAAAATAATCGTAATATCACGAGTAAGAATGTGCGCGCGTTCGAAAGGCCATTGCATAATGTGTTGTAAAAAAGAACAGAACAAAAACGTATGCTGCTTTTTCTTTGTTGACGAAACGAAAGACGACTAGCAATTCTGTCGGACGACAAATATACATCCACGCAATAAACAACATATTTCTGCTGCTTTTGAGTAATATTCAGAAAGAATTGAAAGAGCGAATTTACAGTCAAATTTTTTATAGGTTGCCTCTGTTTGCTTCATAAATAATTTCTCTAAGAAAGGAAAAAACGAGTTCTGATGTTTACCAACAAGAAAGCAGTCTGTTAACTGTATATATACAGAAAATTTGGTTTATCACCTAGTAATTGTGCACTTTTTTCGCAGACCTTGAGAGCACATATTTGGTAGGTGAAAGTCTTCTTTTCATCGTCATTCACGTATCTTGCACACAATCAGAACTTAACAGACATCCACAATTATACTTATGTATTTGCACCTTCTATTACGTACTGTGTTGTGATAAACTAGGTGATGTGTTCTGCAATTCATCTAGACTTTGGGCGGCTTCTCCTATTCGATCATTTCAGTCAATCAATAAATTGTACGAGGTGCTTGCCGTGCATGCAGTCGCCCAGAGGAAGAGAATAGAAAAATTTGAATTGTATCTCGATTTTGTCCTATGGATATATTTTGTTCTCTTTTTTGTAGATTGATGACTGCAGCTAGTGGAAGAACGAGAAAAGATGCACCTCTATCTCCGTCTCGTTTCGCATTCGGTGGTAAAACAAAACCTCTATCTGAATTGATGTTCAAGAAATACGATGTAGATAACAATGGTAAAATGTTCATCTTCATGTCTTCCTTCGTATATTCAATTAAACTTCTTTGTTTCAGGATCGATTTCTTGCAATGAACTTCGTTCTCTGTGCTATGATCTGGGTTATTACCTTTCCGATGATGAAATAGCTTGGGCATGGACAGTAATGGATAAAGATGGCAGCGGAACGATTGATTATAATGAGTTCACTGAATGGTGGAGGACATCATCTCGTTTCGAATATTTGAAAATGCCGAACGAGCAACAAGCACATCTTCTTGGTCGAGTGATCGAAATTTTTCGTTCATACGATAAAACCAATACAGGGACTCTCGATCGAGCTCAATTCACTGCTATGATACAGGATCTCGTTGAAGAAGGTATTCTAAATGGTAGCGGACATCTAGCATGTGAATTTGATGAAATCGATCGTAGTCATGATGAACGAATCAATATTAATGAGTTAATCGCCTGGTTAATAAACATTCGTGTACTTGGCAATGACACTATTGAAAAATCTTAGAAAGTGTCTTGAACTCTTTGTGTGCTACATGCATCTCATCATTTGTCCTCCAGAATCGAAGGTATCTTTGACGAACATTAGTTTTCTTAGTTGAAAATTTCACTGAACACTATTCAATTCATTGTCAACAGTCTATAAATGAGAGATTGCATTTGATAAATTACAAAGCTGAGGTTTTAGTTCTTGTTGTATTCCTATCCCGAAAGAATAAACATACGGTTATAGAAAATTAAAGCCGAAAAACTCGTTTTAATTAATCATACTAGTATCATTTCCAGCTGCAGCTCTCAGCAAGTGTCCGCTTTTGACAACGTCTTTCATCGCTGTCTGACTGAGTTTCGTTTCGCTCTTAATATTCCTCACTTGCAAGCATTAGAGTTGAAGAAGTACGTCCGGACGAAAAGCATCGGAAAACAGACATTGCATCTCATTATCAAGTATCAAACACGCTAATAAGTCATTTAATGTTGTCTCTCAAATAAATTTCACTATTTGCTCATGAAAAGTAAGAAAAAACATATCAAAAATACGTAGTATCAATGTGTAATACCTGTGATTGCAAAATGATTACATGTTTAAATGAGAATAACGATATAAAACAGTTATAGAATAATGTTTTAAAAATCATATCAGAGATGTATTTACACTCAAGGATACAATAGAAGATCTGAAGTCTTCTATTAGAGGAAGAGGTTTACTACCTTATACGTCAACTTCAAAGTCAATAAATTATTCTGTTTTTTTTTTTCTAAATGAGCTCTTTCACCAAGTAAAGACTCGTAAGAGGAGTGGTATTTTTGTTTGTTTTTCATCATAATAGATGATATGCCTGGTCAGTTCTTTTTTTCTGTTCTTTCTTAAATTATTACATATGTTTTATAAGTCAATTTAATTACACTATAATCAACGATGTAATCAAAGAGATGGAAAATGTGAGAGGACATCAACCATTTCATTCATCTTTATTTCTCATGTTAATTTAAAAATAGCTCAAAAGAAACTTATTTTTATTTAAGGCCTGTCACTTTTTCTTCTGAAATTGTCGGAAACAAGGAAAATCAAAGAAAAAGTATCGAAAAGCACAGGAACTCGTAAAAAATAAGATGATCAACTAACTTACTCTTCTAACTATTCATTCCCTCTGCTTTTAAAATATATGCGATAAATAGTTAAGAAATATAAATGAATCTATGGTAAACTACAATGCTAAACAATTATTTGATATTTTTTTTGAGATCATGACATGGTATCAAAGTAAACTGATAAAATAGATTAAGTATACTATGATAAATTTTGACTTTAGAGAGTATTTTGATGCATGTTCATTGATAGAAATAGCTTTCGACCTTAGTAAAAAGTATCTGGTTTACAAAAAAAAAAACACTTGTATGGTAATTTTTTTGAAAAAAAGATGGAAAAACTCAAAAAAAAAACTTGGACCGGTCAGTAAAGAAATTTTTTTTCTACCGGTCGGTAAGAAATCCTCTACCGGACCGGACCAGCCGGTCTGCCGGTCCGGTTACAACTCTGATCCTTACTACTAGAATATTTTGAAACGACAAACCAAAAATGTTTGTTGTATTATTTTCTGTTAAGCTTCTCTAAACTGACGTATTTGGAAATGATAACACATAAAAAAATTATTTTATGAATGATTTCTGTAAATGGTAGTTGATATCCTTGCCAAACACCTGATAATCCTTACGAAAAATTTTATTTTACAAAAATTCCAATTTTCAACTTTAGTGTTTAAAGAATGAAAGGCAGATTTAAACAACTTTACCAAAGCTGATATCAATAGAGTTCCGTGTAGCTTAAAATAATCAGGAAAAATATACTTTTCAAGTTGAAAAAAAGTTGCAAGAACCATTTTACGGGTGTTTAGTTTTTGGCTGTTCCTCCTTCTCAGTTTCGTTCTGGAAAAATATGTCTGGTACAAATTTTTGTAGTTCAGAATTTGTTCTTTCAAACGGGATTCTGGAACTTCGCCAATAAGACTTTCGTCAATTATTGGCGAAAATCCAGAGGTGTATTGGCGAAAGTTCAATGGACTTTCGCCAATTGGCGAATATCCAGGGGGATGAATTAGCGAAAGTCGAATAGATTTTCATTAATGAAAGTGGAACATTCATATCGTAAGTGATGTACAAGAACTATCCCTAGCATTATAAAAATGTACCTCAAGTCATACAGTTAAGAATATAGTTGATATCAATCTCTCTAACCAATACTACCGTTCTACTTAAATTCGAGAAATTTCATTGGAAATTCGCCAATTGGAGAAAGTACAGGGGGTATATTGACGAATGTTCACTGGACGTTCGCCAATGGCGAAAGTTCAGTTTGAGAAGTTTCTATTGGCGAACGTCCGGTAACCCTTTCAAACAAAAAAAATTTAACTGATTTACAGAGCAGCAATATGGTTTAACATAGTCTGACATTTTGCCAAAGACTTTTGCATTGTATATTAAGTACAAAACATCAAACAAGACTGTTAAAATGTCCAAATAAAAATGAAGCATGATTTAAAGTAGTTGTTAATGTTGTGGATACTGTTGTAAATATCGCTGTAGTAACTGTTGTTGCTGCTGTTATCAAGTGAAGTGTGGTTGTTATTCCAAACAGCACCGACACATTTATTGGCAAAATATATTCACTAGCTAATCATTGAAAAGTTTCAATAATAATGATATTGGATTCATATTTTAGAATATTACACTGAAATGAATCATAATTATTCAAGCCGCAACTCTGATAATGTGTGTAAATCTGAATCCGGATTATCTCTGGCAGATCGGTTGGACGAGCACATCTATTAAGAACGTCCTCTGCTTTGTCATATGTGACATTGTGATGTATATATTCAGGAGAATAAAGTGAAACATTTTCAGGACATAAACCTTTGTTTGAATATTGATTAGGATCAGTATTGTTTGGATTATAGAGACGAACAGCGAGTGTTTGTCGCAAAGGTTCCACTTGCGGTGTCAGTCAGTGTTCGAGATAATGTTTCAAGCACAAACTCGAGATCAGAGTAATCAGATATGAAACATATATAAATAATATTAACTCTTATTGAAATATTATCTAGAGAGAATTGTATTATAATTACAAGTTTATTGTAAGGCATAACTGGTTGTTTTTGAGCATCAAATGATCCATTGGCAAGACGATAGTAAAATCGATTATTAGCAAAACTGCACAGTTTTCATATTGGTTATTATTATTAGTTTACTCATTTGATGATGGACATATATTTGAAGGAATAGACGAGTTCATTTGTAATCCTTGAAAAGTAAAACTGTTTAAAAATATCGAATTGATTCTCTGAATGAAGCTACAAGTAATATTGAGAAGATCAAAACATTATTTCCTACAGGCATCTACATGAGATGGAACGAAAAGAGTGTTCTATGGAATAGACGGTCACGACTTGTCCCATGGAATGAGATATGCTTCAAAAACTTACTACTGTCTCACATGAGATGACACAGTCTTCAAAAAGTTCTGTCTGATGAGATGGAATACTTCTCAAGAAATTTTTCGTCGCATTCAATAGGACATCATAATTGTCAAATACTTTTTTTTAAAAATACCACTTATTAGTACATTTATAAATTAGAAAAAATGTTTTATTTCTTACTTGTCGGTTGCGTTCGAATAAACAAGGACAACAAACATCTATATCAAAATATAGATTGTCTTAAAAAAACTTTTATATAAAAGAAATTTGCTTCCATTGAATGATGGAATGGAACAATCACATGTCATGCGAATCCCTTTTATCGACATTTTTTATAACTCTTTGAATATAGTATATGAGAAAACCATGAAAGTCTTATCAAATCAAGGATTTCTACTTTCATTTTTGTACTTTTGTCGAAAAATATTGTATCATGATACTTTATAATTTATATTTAAAAAATTATCAAAACTAGACACTGGGGTTTAATATCTGACATTCGGTCATTTTGTCGTTTTTCTTTTTTCTGAATGAATGTCTTTTTCTATTTTATATGTAATAGAAAGTGCCACAACGATTACATCTGCATAGAAATAGATAATCGAAAAAAAAAACATTCGTCTGTCGCTGCATCAAGCAGACTAGACCGAATTGAAATTGAAGTAAGAATTGCGATTGGTACTATCACATAGAAACACCAGTCATATTCTTTAATGGACTTTATATTCGTCTAGTCTGTTTGAGACCTATATATCAATGTTATATTTTTTCATTCAACAAAAAGGTCAGTCTATTTTTTTTTCTTCAATCAGAAAAATATTTATAAGCAAAGAATCAATAGATGAGTTAATATATATATTGTCTTGACATCAGCATTACAACCCCATATAAAGATGAATCAACATAATGTTCATCTACTTGATCTCCCAAATGAAATATTATTCATCATTTTGAAAAAACTTGAGAATGTTGATGTTCTTTATTCTTTAATGGGTACCAACAATCAACGATTTGAAATTATAGCACAAGAACAAATCTTCACTAACATCCTTAATTTTATTTCTATATCACGATCGACTGATGAGATTTGTTCAATTTCTTCAACAATAGTTAATCAATTTTGTATCAATATATTACCTAGAATTCATAAAAATGTTAAATCGCTCATTGTTGAATCTTTTTCTATGAAACGTATTTTTGGCGCTAGTCTCTATCCTAATCTTACTCAACTCAAAATTTTTAATTTCAACAAAGGAATTGTTTCACGTTATTTCACTGGTAAGATATTCATCTATACTGATCTTTTAAAAGATTAGCATAGAAAAATATTTAGACGTTCAGATATAAATAATATATATTTTGTTTAGACGATTCTCACTTTGGACATATTTATAAACAACAAATTACAGATCTTATTCTTGTCAGTAATGATAAAAATATTGAAATATCAAAAGAAGAGTATACCAAGGATGTTTATGGAATTATTTTTACTTTCTTTGAAAATGTAAAGCATGTTAGTATTGTTTCGGCATCTACTGATGATTATCCACCTTTGACGTTATGTATTCCACCACTGGCTTTTTCTTCTTCGACACTTACCAAATTATCTATCAATGTTGATGATTTTGATGATTGTCTGGCGTTACTTGATGGTCGTTTCAAACAATTAATTACATTTATCATTCAAATTAATCTTATCTACCATCGGATATTAGGATCTTACAACATGGTGAGTGTCATACTTCCTATTATTATTATTATCGAATTCTAAAATCTAATTAGAAATACAATAAACATAATGAAATTTGTGGATTAGTAAATACGTTATTTTAATTTTGATTATTAGAACATATGTAGAATAGAGTGTTATGCTTATGTTGATAATGTTCGAGATTATTTCATAAATAATCAACATTCATTTAAAAATGGTTAATCAACCTTTGTAGGTACTAAATGGCTCGATAAAAAATATTTTTTATGAATTATGTTAAACTTATACACTTATAGTAAAAGAAATGAAACATAGAGTTATTTCTAAACTAAATGCTTTCATAAATCTAGTATTCTTTTAAACTTCATTTAATTTTACTGTTGAAAATGAGCATAGTTACTTAAAAGAACGATTAGTTTTTCTTTACAAATAATTTTTCTTGTAAGATCTATATAATGAATGTTATTGAATACTTTGAAACATGTTGAGAAAATTCATCCGTATATAATATTTTTATGATTTCGTCAAATTGTTCATTAGTTTCGATATATATATATCTGAACTGAACGAATATAAAGTAATAATGTATTACTTGATAATATATGTATTTCATAGAATTCAATAACTATATGAAAAATGAATAATATCTATGGATTAATGGTTGATATTAATTTCTTCACTGAAATGATAAAGAGGAATTTACAAAACTTTTTTTTTTTCTATGTTTCAGGATACACTATCTAATTTAAAATGTTTCTCATTAATATGTTATAAGAGTACTCAAGGATATGACAATTTAATTCTACCACTTATTCGTCGAATGTCAAATCTTGAAGAATTAAGTTTATATATTCATATATTGGGTGGATCAACATTCATCTCTGGTACTCATCTTAATAATAAAATTCTTAGTCATATGCCACGACTTCATACATTCTCATTTTATTTCGCTTCTGAAAATACTGTTGCTAATTCATCTATTCGTATATCTCATTCAGATATTGAACAAACTTTTACCAATATAAAATATCGACAGATCGCTTCTTTGATAGATTATGACAGTTGTAAGAATTCGATTTGTCGTGTCTTTTCACTTCCATTTAAATTTGCTCGTCTGACAAATATCACAAATAATATTCCAAATATTGTATTCAATTCTGTTACTCATTTGAAATTACGCGATAAATATCCATTCAAATACGAATTTTTCATTCGACTTGCTCGTGGTTTTCCATTTCTTAAAAGTCTATCTATTGACACTATTCTAGCACCAAATTGGAGAGTTAACGAATATCATCTTCAACATATTGATTGGTGCTCAATTGTTGAATTACCTCATCTTATTTCACTTGACATCGATTCTGCAAACATTTATTATGCTGAACATTTTCTCAATGAAACAAAAGCACATCTACCTTGTTTAACTGAATTAAAAATTCGCTATGAAAATTTGGAAATGGTGACAGAAAATTTTACAAGAAATGAAACACGACGTAATTGCACTAAAGTGAACCGATTAATTGTTAAAGATTTCATAGTTTATCCGAAAGATGTCTATTATTATTTTCCTTTATTGTGACTTTAATGTTGTTTTATAGTTATCTGAATAGAAACTCTGTGATCTACATTAGAATTTTTTTTTTCTTACAATATCAATTATCAAGCGAAAAATGTTTGTTATTTATGCAGACAATCTGCTTCTGGAAGCTGTCATCAACGCGATTATTCATTTTTTTTTGTACATAAAAAATGGGTACATTATAGAATCGGTCAGTGTTCATCTGACCGTACACACGATAAGTCTCCAAAGGGTAATTCCATTGTGATGAAATTTTGGACACTGAATTGTCTCATCAATATCTCGGTCGAGTTCGAAGATGAGAATAATTCGTCAAGAAATTGCGGAGTTATAGCAAACAATGTCATTATTTTCTATTCTTCTCTATGGGAACATTGACCTATCTCAGTTTTCGTAAAAAACGTTTTGTCTCATAATCAAAAAAAAACGTCACCTATTATATACCATTTGTTAGAGAATTTCACGGGCTACAAGATGGTATAAAACACAGTAAGAAACAAGAAGGGTAAATCATATATTATAAAGATACTTACTTCAGCTGAAAGTGATGTCTACCACTTTATGAGTCGATGAACTGCGAAAATATTACTCGCATATGTAGGCCTCGGGGACCTTTATTAAGTTAGATATTGAGACATTGGTTAGACTAGACAAATGAGTCATCAAAGCCTTTCCTGACAGTTTAGTAATTATAGGATGTCTAGACAGCAAAATTATCCTAGCAAGCCAATTTTCCTAAAACTCGTTTCCTATTTTAGACAGTTTAATCAAAACGAATCTGTCGCCAATTATTTTTAATTTTTTGAAGCACATATAACACTGGGATTTAAATCCGAGATTTTCACATTTCTATATCATTTAGCGATGACTGAAGTATTGTTGAAAACTATGGCACAATACTAAAAATCTGAGCTTGTTGGTAATTAGTTTTGCTCTGGATTTAAGTGGGTATTGACGTTTCTTTAAAAAGTACACGATCATACAAAATCAGATGCAAGAAAGACAATTGAAACAACTAATATTTTTAATAGATTACTTGTCTATTCTCAATATTATCATCTCTATTTTCCTTCAAACGATTTTTGAATAGATTTATTTTTCGACCACCTCTGATTTGAAGCAGAATTCGAAGACAAATACTCCACTACTACTGGCCTTCAGTCCAAATCGACGCTCCAATGACATTGTGTACCTCTATGAAATGTCTTCCTCCAATGTTTTCTTAATTGTAATCTGTGCATATTGTAGCTAATGTAAAGGGCTCTTAATGATAAAAAAAATTATGATGGTTGCTCTCGTCGTTGAAGAGAACAAAGATCTACAATGAATATGTCTAACAACCTAAAGATGGTCTTTCGAGATTCTTGTGAGATTTTTTAGGACTGTATTTCAACTATAAAGTCAGAAGAACTAAAGTAAAAGACTTGATATTTATAGTAGTGTTAGCGGCTATAGATGAAATTTTAAAAAATCTTTTTTTTTCTTGTTCTCACCATATGAATAGGTGTACTATATCATATTGGTCATAAATGCAATTTAGACCCAAAGACATCGAATATTTACCATGTTCAAACTTTTTATTCACTCGTGAAAAAATATTTGATCCCGTCATCAAAAATGCTTATCTCAACGAGATTTTTCATTTGATATGAGGTAGAATGGTCTAGTTAGAAAAAATCCGATTGACCAATTTACAACTAGGGGTGTACCGAAACCGAGACTCTTGGTCTCCGTCTCGTTCGTCTCGGTCAGTCTCGATTTCAAAATGGAAAAGTCTGTGCTGTTAGTTAGTAAGATGCAAAATATTCAGGTTCAATTAAAGCTCTCACTGCTAAACTACCAAATTTAAAATACTAGCTGTGCTTCGCGTGCATAGACGGAGATAATTGAATTTTACTGTATTAACAGTGTCAGTATAGTAACATCGGTATAGGGAAATTATTTGTATCCATTTCATATATAGCCAACTGAATATTTCGATAGTATACTTCCTAGTCAACTCTCCCTTTTCAATTCCTCAAGGAGTCCATGGAAAATAACGACTCCCTAGGGGACTCTGTCGTGAATCCGCGAGGAGTTCAAGAAAAGTATAGAAAATTTTTAGCGAAAATTCAATCGATAGTTTCAAAAAGTCAAGTAAAAAAATGAGAAAAACCTGCAAACATTTCGGAGAAATTCTTCAAGAATCTTTAAGGAGTCTTGAAGAATCACTTTAAGTAAGTTGAACAATGAAAAAAATCGTAGTTATAGAAAAATTATGGAATAGAGATTGTTTATATATATCTTACGAGTTCATTCTACAATATCTCACAATTCTTTTGAAAATATAATAAAATCTATACGATACCTCAGTTCAAAAGTATATTTAAAGAAATAAAAGTGTTTTAAAAAAAAACCATATGAATATTACAGATAGAATTATTAAAATATTACCACATCTTTTTCAATTGAAGAGCATAAAACAAATAGATGGCTCTGTCTGTTGATATCTGACTTAAATCTTAAATGCGTCGGTTTCAATTGGTTAACCAATCAAATTTCGAGATGTTGATATGATGATGATAAAAAGGATTTTTGTTTCATTCCTTCGTCGTTTTTTTTTTTGTAAAAAAAGATCCAACACCATCTTTAGAAAACAAAATGCAATCAGCTGTCGAAAAGCTTCGTAAATATCGTGATGAAAATTATCGTTCATATGATGAAATAATTGAATTATGGACACAAATTTTATCTAAACGTAATTTATCATCATTAGGCGACGAAAAATGGTTAATACTTGAGCAAGTATTTAAATCAGCTTTACATTGTTCAAAATTATCCATTGCTCGTCAATGTCTTGAACAATTAGAAAAACAATTTAAAACAACAAGTCGTCGTGTAGCAACATTAAATGGAATGTATTATGAATCGATTGGAGAATTTGGAAGAGCTGAAGAAATTTATTCAACATTATTAGAAGATAATGAAACAGATGCTATTGTACGTAAAAGACAAATAAGTCTTTTAAAAGAACAAAATCAAATACGTGAAGCTATTAGTGAATTAAATTCATATTTAGATCTTTATCAAGTAAAGAATAAAAAATATTTTAATTTTAATTTATCTATTTTATTTTTAAGGCTGATCAAGAAGCATGGAGTGAATTATGTGATCTTTATTTATCTGAACATGATTATACAAAAGCTGCATTTTGTGCTGAAGAACTTCTTTTAATAAATCCTCATAATCATTTAAATCATGAACGTTATGCATCTATTCGTTATTCTCAAGGTGATTATGATAAAGCACGTACTTATTATTTTAGTGCATTAAAAATAAATCCAATAAATATTCGTGCTTTATATGGAGTTATTTTAACATCAACAAATCTTGCTATTAAAACATCATCAACAAATCCTAAAGCACAAAATTCAAATGAAAGCAATAATTTATTTATTGAACAAATTCAATGGGCACGTGAACAAATTATACAAAAATATAAAGAAACTATTCCGGATCTTCTACCTATTATTGAATCAGCATTACAAAGTTTAACATTATAAAAAAAAAAAGCAATCTCTTTTTTTCTCGTCATTTTATCTAATAGAATAGTAGATTTTGTGTCATGTCGTTCTTGTTAATATAAAAAAAAAAAGAATTTGAGAATGAAAACATAAAGATATGAATCTTGTTGTTTTAGATGTTGAGATGGATTTACAAAATAAATATCAAATATTAGCAAGTGAATTTTCTAAAGTGCGAGGACAAGTAACTGTTTTAAAAAAAGCAGTTCTTGATGAGCAAAATAAAAGTCAACAACTACAAGTAATTTATATTTTTTATTTATATGATCATTTGATTTATTTATTTTTTTTTTTTTTAAGGAAGATATCAATAAAAAGGATCAGAATTTAAGACGAAATGCACAAGAAATCGAAACACTTTCATTTCTTAATACACAACTTAAATCTCGTCTTGAAATTCTTCAACAAGAACTTAATGATATTGAAACACATATAAAATTAAAAAAATCAAATAGCAATAAATTATCGCAGGCTAATCCATTTAATGATAATGTACTGGCTCAAGAACTTGAACAGAAAATTAAACAGTATGAAACAATTCAACGTCGAGTAAGTTTTATGGGTTTGTTTTTTCTTCTTCAAGAACCAGCTAAATACCTAAAGGTGGTAAAGAAAAATTTAGAGGTGTACCGAATTCAAACTCAAACTGTATGGGCTTAGTGCATTTTCTGGAAGGATCTGTGAAATAGTTTTAATTAGCTTGTTATTTTGGCTACTATTCAAATTCGTAGCTATGATATTCTGCATAGAGAGAGATACATGTGGATTAATGTTTTTGAAGTTTTATGAAGTATTGCTGATATCTGAAATCCCACACGCAATAGAAGACCTTCTCTCTCTCTCTTAATTAATTAATCTCTCGCAGAATTTGAACTTTAATTAGATAGTATATCTACATCAAAATATGTCTAGTTTTCAGGGTTTTGACCTGAGAAACCTTAAAAGACTAAAGATCAACATCATTTCTAGATTTTTAAAACTTCAAACAATCTCTTCCTATATCCTGAAAGCCGCTTTGGTTTTTTGAAAAAATCTTTTTAATTAAGAATTGTTAACACAAATAAGACACAATAGAAGACTCCTCATCTGGAAAGTTTGTTCGTTAGGACATAGTAGAAGACCTAGTGTCTTCTGTTGCAGTGAGGATATAGAATTAATTCAAACTGTAAAATCTACTTTCTTTTTTCCCATTTTTTTTTCAAAACTTAGCAAAGAAAATGTTTTTTTTTCGGAAAAAAACTCCTGATCTGTATATCAAAGTTGTCTTTTTTTTTTCGCGAGAGTTATCTTTAGTAAAATTGAGAACATGTTCCTATTAACAATAGGTTGTCATAGGAAAACAATTTCTCTAGAAGATTTGAAGTGTAGCCTGATCTAACATTAGAGTTTTGTTTATTTATGACTATTTGAATAATTCTCTCGCAACAGATGAAGTGAATTATGTCATAATTTGATATATGCTTTGTTCTAAAAAACGTACGTTTGGTGAAGTGAAATCAGTAAAGTAAGAAGGTAGCACTCATTCACCTATAGCAGCAAGACTTATTAGAAGGTTTGAATAATAACCGAACATCTAGCTCTCTCATTTCTCGTTAGCCCTTGCAAAACTCTCTTTGAAATTAAGTGCATATGTTTTCACAAAATTCTGTTGGATGAAGACACGAAAGTCTACTAATTTGTGCCGAAGTTCTATCGGTAGTTCATGAACTTCATGCGAAAGACTGCTTGCCGCGTACCAAAGCGAAATTATTAAATTTTATTGAAGAGAATGTTGGTGTCTCTTCCTAGTGAGAATATATCATCGAAAAATGCGAATCTCCATCCTATCATGTTTGTAGGGTATTTCTATTTATGAGATACATTTTGAAAGTCATTAAATTTAACATGATTATCGATAGGATAATGAACACTTTTTTGTGCATCAAGAATCTCTTCTAAATCTAGATGAATGCAAAGGGAAAAATACATAGAACTATTTCCGTTTTTTTATTTAATTATAAAGATTATAGAGAAGAGTTGACTGCACATTGATATTATATACTGTTTTAAGCTTTCAATAACATGAAAAAACAGCTAAGATCAATCAACTGAGTTCATTAATATGCTTCGCTAAATAGCCTTAGGGTATGACGTAAGAAGCAAAATCTAATCTAATATTATGCATAAATTATAAAAATAGAATTAATAGAAATCTGAATGAATCTTAGATAATTATCTAGGAATTAATTGTAAATGAACACCAATATTGATGAGTTCGAATATTTTGTATCTTTGAATTATTTCTAATGTAGAAAAACAAAAATAGAAGTATAAATTATATATTCTTAACATAGGTTTATGAATTAGAAAAGTTGATTGTTGATAATGAAAATGAACGATCAATAAATCGTTCAAATATAGAACAGTTACAAAATCAAATGGCAGAAATGCAAGAAAGTCATCAACGAGCTCGAGATGAATATGAAAGAATTTTAAAACAAATAAAACAAGAAAATGAATTACTTAATGAACAAGTTAAACAACATTTAACTGAACAATCATCATCTGTTGCTGTCAGTCGAAAATCGTCTGTTATCCGTTTTCGAATCGTTTGTTTTTTTTTCGAATATTTCTTTACTAAATTTTAGATCGAGTTTAAATCCACCAACAAAAACCGTTCAGGAATCAACACCACCTCCACAACCTGAAATATTTTTATATAAATGTTTAAATGCATGGCGTGATGCATTTACAGAATTAACTATTTATATTGAAGAACGATTAAAAAATAATAATCGATCTTCAGAAAATAATGAAAAAGTAATTTATTGTTTTCGAATTGTTCTTATTTATAAAAGAAAAGAAAAAAAAAACATGTTTTATTAATTAGATGGCTCATACTGTAAAAGCTTTTCAACAACATGCAGAGAATTTTCTTATTGCTTTGAAAATACGTTTGTTCGATGGAAAAGTAAAGAATCCAAAACAAAATGAGAAAAATAATTTTATTCATTTATTTTTTTGTTTTTGAAGTCTTCACAAGGAGATACACATACAACTGATTTTGCTGAATTATTTAGTATGTTTGTTTCATCATGTGAAAAAGTACTTGCTTTTGCTATTAAAAGGTAAAATATGATTTGTTTTGAAATAAAATCATTTTGTTTTTGTTCAGTGTTTGTGATGAACCTAACTTCAATTCTTCATCAGAAAATCAAGAAAAACTTTATGAAAAAATTAATAAGTTAAATGTTGTACTTAATCAATTATTTCAACAATGGGCAAATAATTTATCACAATTACGTGAAATAGCTGTTGCAATTATTCAATTTGGTAATTGAAATATACATATAACTGGTGGATCATAAATAATAACATCATTTGTATTTCGTGTTTTTCTCAGCCATCTTTCATTGTAGAAATTTAGCCTTAGGTTCAGAAGATTTTTCTTTCAATTCTCTACAATATTAAATTAGAACGTTTTATCTAAACTGCCAATATAAAAAAGTGACCGAATAATACTGATCTCCTGTAATGTGTACTACCTTCTAACATAGAAGAAACATTTGTTTTGATTTTATTCGTTGGGATTTTTGGCCATTCAAAGGAACTTATTAGCTTTTTTGTATCCCATAGAAAACTCTATCTTTCAGCTATGTTTAAGGAGAACCCTCGTTCCACATGTTAAAATCAAAGGTTTTAAATTTTTGATTTTTCGTTGTGAATTAGTACTTTTATTAAACCCAACTCTTGAAATCTCAAGCAGAAAAACTCGCATTGCGATTATTCTTTGTATGGGAAATTCTCCTAATGGTAGTCACTGTTTCTCATTCGAAAGGTACTGAGATTATGGGTCATGGACTTCTAACACCGGTGAACACGGCCAGTTTTTGATCACTTTAGTTGAAGGAAAAAAAAAGTTCTGATACATACAGGAAAATTTGTAGTTTGTTTTTTCACTTTTTACAGATATTAAACACTGTTTGTGGTGCGTAATTTTATTTTTGCTTTAGCAAATATTGCACTGTTGAATCTACAACGCTTTTGTAGAAAACAACATGTATTTTTGGAGATAAGCTCAGCATTTTGATCTTTTTTTACGAATGGAAAGAAATAAAAAGAAACAAAAAAAAATGGCATTTCAAATAATGTCTAGTATCTGTAAAAAGGTTCCAGCTCTATCGACCTTATTGCGGCTGAGAAAACAGAGCAGTTTTTAGCCATTGCGACCTAGGTGCTCCCTAGAAGAAAGTATTTAAGAATTTGGAATCTACGACAACTTCTGCTCTACTCCTTGAAATCTTTCTACTCTGAAAGTTTCAAATATTTCTGATGAATCGTTCTTCAGAAACTTTGGAAAAGGGAGGAAATCCTGTTAAATCATTTTGACATGAACGTCCGCCGCTCAGAAAAAGAATACTGTTTTCAAAAATTTAAAGAAAAACATGATTTTGAACGAGCAGTCTTAAGACATTCAGAAATGTTGGTAAAAGTTCAGCAAAACTTAATCCTTTAAGGTTATACATTTATAGTTTGAATAAAAATGAATGCTACATTACACCGAATACTGATAATGAGAAGATTACGATGTATCTGGATGAAATTAGCAAAAATGCTTGGCTGATATGAGCTTCACTGATTACCAAAAGAAAGAACGCAGTTACTTATGCTGAAAAAATGTCTCTGATATGTTTTATATTTGCCTAATGATAGGAAAAAATCCAAGCTTTCCAGAAAAACTCTAATACAGTTATACATGTTGGAGAAGCACAATATTATTCAGTTACTTTTTTAAATAGGAAGTTTCGGTTAGACTTTCTAATTTTAATATTGTAGAGAATTGACAGGAAAATCTTTTGAGACTAAGACCAAAATTTTTACAATGAAAGCTGGTCAAGAAAAACATGAAATACAAATGATGCTATGATTTATGAGTGTATCGTCCAAGAAGAATGACTTTAAAAAATGATTCTTAATAAATACACATGATCAGTCAACTGATAATAATCTGTAACCCATATAAAAAATTGTTCGTTAATTCAATTTATAAAAAGAAAACGAAAGAATTTAGTGGAAATTTTTTAAAATTTGATCATCCGAGAAAAATTCGATTTTCATTTTACAGTCATGAAAATTATTGATACTGTATTTCAAGAGATATAAGTTCTAATCTTTGTTTTTTTAGATTCATCTCTTCCAACGACAGTAGAACAACTTCAAGCAAAAATTATTGAAATTTCAACAACATTTCAAGCAGGTGCAATTATTCATTGTGGTTCGTATTTTGTTTATTGATTTTTCTTCATTTATAAATTATTATATATTTTAAAGATCTTGATAAAAACTATAATGATAAATTATGTTTGGAATATGAATTAAGTGCTTCTCCCGTACATTTAACAACAACCGATGAATGTATTCTATCAGCATTAAGAAAATTAGCAAGTCATGAACAACAGGTTAAGAAAATATGATTATTTTTTTTTTTATAGATTTTTGTTATTTTGTTTTTGTTAGATAGCACAATTAATTCGAGAAAATCAAACATATCTTTTTGAATTTCAAAAACGACAAAAAGAAACTTTACAACAAGAAGAAAATGTTTTTGTGGATGTTGCAGAAGATTCTTGTCAACAATTACTTGATGTTCATAAAAAACAAGTGAACAAATAAATAAAAATAAATATTGTTTTATTAAATTTTCGACTTTTTTTTTAAAAGATTCTTTATAATGCAGAAACAATTGGTGCACTTGAACAAGAAAAAGAACATTGGCGTTTAGAATATCAATTATTAAAAATAAAATTGGAAAAAATGCGTGATGATCATTCAAAACAAATTGAAGAACTAAAAGACAAAACAAATCAAACAACAACAACAAATGAAGAGTTTGATGGAATGGTTACATCATTACCTACAACTGTAAATGTTTATTTTATTCATTTACATATATATTAATCAAAATCGAGTTTTTTACCGAAAATTTCTTGTCTCATCCTCTACAAATCGATAAATTTTCAAGAGAATTAAAAGCTCAAAAAATTTACGCAAATTTTGTTGAGTATTAATAGGAAACTTCATTATTTATGAACCATCTCTCCCATCTTAATGAATTTGATATTATGATTCGAAAAACTGTCGAATCTAAAATACGAATGAATGTCATGAGGAATTAGCAGAAATGTTCATAGTGATGCTGCGGCTATTTACCACAACGACGGCATCAGCATCGCAGTCACCTTATCTCTTTTAGGTTAGTGACGTGGCAGTAGTAGATTTGCAGCCGTGATGGATGTTCATAGGAATTCGGTTGTTCATCCGGATACTGTCACATTATCACTACTCGATTTATTATTCAGTCTAAGGTGCTTTGTTGTTTTTTCTTTGCTAAGTTGAATTTTGCTTGGTATGATACATAAAATAATTCATTGAAAAACAAAAGAATATCTATATTTCGATATCGATAAACTCTCGTTTTGTTTTTGTTCAACATATTTTTATTTGTAACACTGTTTTTCTTTAAATGAATAAGAAAGAATGAAATATTTTAATTTTTTTTAGTCAATAACAAATATTCCACGAGATTATCGAACAAGTTCCGATCCACCGAGTGAACGCGAACTAATGATAAAACAATATTATTCACAAAAAATCCTCGATTTAGAAACAAAATTACAATTAGTAAATGGCAAAGGAATTGCTTTTTATAATGAAGTATTTTAATTATTTATTTTTTTTTATTCCTAATTCATCTTTTATTTCTTGTTATACAATTAGTTAGCAAATATTCATCAACGTTTAAGACATTCCAAAGATCAAGAAGCTAAAGGTCGAATTGAAATAGACCAGTCACAACAAGAATTAACAAAAATGACGGTTTGTTTATTTTTCTTTTTTTTTTTTTTTATTTACAAAGAAAATCGTATAATTATTTTACTGATTTAGGATGAATTAGCAACAACAACTAAAGGGTATGAAGAACAAATAGCGACAATGTCTGAACATTTAGCATCGATGAATGAACAGATTACGTCACAGAATGATAAAATTGATAAACTTCAACAAATGTTACACACGAATCCAAAAGTAATAATTGAAAAAGATTTTCTTTTTTATTATTATTTTAATAAATTTTTTCTATTTTCAATAAATAGGATGGTAAAAAAAGCAAAAAATGAAATGAATTTTTGCTTTCATTCTATGGCAACACAAACGCGAAATCATGATGATAGTCAGTTTTCTATGTTGATTTATTTATCTTTGATTCTTCTATTGTGCTTTTAAAAATTTATTAATTCATTTTTTTCGAGTGTTAATATCTTTTTTTTTCCATATGTATTTTGATAATCTTTATTGATATATGTAATAGATTGTATGTGTCTTTTGGACAATAATTTAAAAAAAAAACCATTCATTTCTTCATAATTCATAAGATATGATGATGAAAAAAAAGTAAAGTAATATTAAATAGAAAGTTATTTGTTTGTGCAACACACTAATAATAAAATATTTTAATAACAATCATTGACACCTTTGTATCATTCAAGGTTACCATAGGTGTTTGCATAGGATAGTCTATATATAATCGTCGATTGAGAATAGTCATGACTATTTTATTATCAAGTAAATATGAACTTCATATGTTTGAATGTATATTTTTTTCTTAGTTATATTTGAATGAAGCTCAATACCAAGAACAATCTTTCAACGTATGAAACTATTATCTGATTATCTTTATCGTATCTACTATTTGAATGTGACAATAACTTTCTTTCTTGATCTTCTTTGTATGTTCATTTTTTGCAACATGTCTGATCATTGTATTAATAACTTTTAAATCATGATTTAGAGAATTATATAACATAACAGTTAGATAACTTTGAAGCATAACATATATACTATGGAAAAATACTTGTTAGTGCAGCCCCTTTCGAGCTGAAACGCATTATTATATATCTCGATCAACCCATAAAAAACTTATAGCGATTATTTTTTTGAAGTTATAACTTAATCAATTCACGCTTTTTATGTTGATCAAATGACAACTGTGGTATGAGAGGAGGGGTCGTTGCTAAATATTTGTAATGGGGACGGAGAGAGAGCCGGAATACTTTGGCTTAAAACTTGCACTCACTATTCTATTTGAAAATATACGTGAGTTTCACAAAACACTTTTAATGTTTTAGAAAGATAGACTTGTTTTTTCTTTGTCCTTATCTATGGCGTATGTTAAATTCTTTTTACGCATATTTTTATACCCACTCATTATTTCACCTCTCATTGCCAAATTATTATCTCAGTTCCATATTGTCTTATCTTTCACTTCATTAGCTGTTTCCGTTGATTTATCTTCTATTTCTCAAGTCTGACGTAAATCTCTGAAATTAAGACGTATTTTCTTTCTCAATCTAATTGATAATATTCATTTTCTATGGTGTATAATAAGATTCGAGATAGTTGATCGATAAACAATTCCAGGTAATAACAAAATAGACGCTGTCATATAGATGTTTTGTTATTTCATTTTAATCCTTAAATTTGAATGAAGAATAAATTATACATTGAATTGTTTTTAAGTGAAAAATAAAAACAAAAAAAACAAGCATTGCTGATTTCTATATGTTGTTAGCTTGGTCATTTTTTATAAGAGAATTTAATGTGTTAGATATAATAATGAAGAGTTTCGATTGAGATAATTTCACAGGTTTGGATTGTTTTAGAGATGAACAAGAAGAGAACTTTTTACGATTCTACATGCAACATATGAAGTGAGATCATATAAATTGGTTAACTACGTATACTCTGCCATTGAGCATGAGATACTTGAGATATTGACTCACGAAGAAAGTTCTTCAACTGTTCAATCGCTTTTGAGTTAAGACTATGTGAACTATGTAGATTCAAATGAGCTATGAATACTCTGAAAAGAGTTCGTACCATTAGCTTATTACTATAAATATACTGCACTTTTTCGTGATTTTGTGAAAATCACATATATTTTCGAAGACAATAGTAAATGTAAATTTAAAGCCGAAGATTTGCGACTCCTCCCGCTTCCATTACAGACCTTAGGAATCGAAGACAACAGGTGTCAGATGTCTTTTCGAGAGCTTCTTAGCAAGGGAAAAAAGGGGCTGAGCAACATTAATAACAAAACATCGATTGTTCTAGAGAATTCTAGAACATTCTAGAATTTTCTTCGAACCTTGAATGGCTAGAATACATTTGTGAATGTTTTAAATAGTGCAGTTTTTGATTTTTGCGCAGATACAAATTTATATTTAAGATGTCAAGGATAGTGAGTAGCTATACATTGGTTTTCCACCGTCATCACATGGTCAACATAAAAAGTGTGAATTGATCGAATTATAACTTTAGGAAATAATCAATTTCAGTGTCCTTGAGTAATCGATATCCTTGAAAAACAACGATATTTTGCTAGAAATTTTTTATTTTAAGTATTTTGTATTTATATGATTCGGCTAAAGAACATATGTGAGTTGCACATTTCAGCCCGAAAGAGGCTGTGTTGACAAGTTTTTTTCAATAAATGCCATGATTCTCCTCAGGAATACTAGAAAAACTCCTTTTCAAATTGCAATTTGAAACTTTGCATAGAGATAGGATTTAGCGAGAGTAATTTATTATGAAAGTTTCAAGTCTTTTGATTTGCTTGTATCCTGACCTAAGAACAATAAACTTGCTAGTTTATATAAGCGATTGAAAGATACGCCATTACCATAGTTGTATGTTAGGATAGGAACAACGATCACACCTGAAGCATTCACAAAAACTGGTCTCGTCAAGTCGTGTCTCTATTCAAAATTTCAAGTTGAAATTCGAAAATCAGTTTTTCTCGTATTCTTGAGGAGGATTTCGTTCGCTAGATACGATCTTGTGACTTCTCAACAGAGAAATTTATTAATTTTTTTCAATATTCAATAATATAATACCTCTGTTCGTTAGCCATTCTCCAGTCTATGGTTTATTAAAATAACAGTCAAGAAAATTCATTTTATCACTTATTAAAGTAAACAAAGACGATAATGCCAAACACAACAACATCATATATGCGATGGTTTTCTGTCATAAATATATTTACTAATATTATAGCCAGTTGTCAAATATTATTTGGACTTATTTTTATATCAATTATACTATATAAACGAGCTTATCGATCAGTATCAAATTGTCTTGCTGCCAACATAGCTTTTTCAATCACATTTTATGCAATCACTGTACTTGCAATTTCAATTCATATTTCGTAAGTTTTATCTATTGAGAATTAAAAATGTCTTCTAAAAAGAATAGTTTTTTTTAATGTTACTCTAAATTGAATAAAAAGATTACATTCAAATAAATGTAATTGATTGAAAAGATGAATTATTGCTGTTCGTTAACTTTTTTCAGGCAATGTGATAATCATCCTGATCAATGCACAGAAGAAAGATCATATATTATTCTTAATTACATGAATGATGTTGCATCTACGGCTGTCATTTATTCCTTCACTGGACAATCAATTCATCATCTGCTTTCTGCAATATTTGCACGTAATATTCGTCTTCAAATGTATCAAATACGATTAAGTCTTTTTATTATTCAATGGATTGTAGCTTTTCTTTTTCCATACTATTTTGTTTATGTTAATCCTCAACTTATATACAATACAGTTAGTTATGTATGGGTTGTCTCAAAAAATTTAAGTCCTTTTTTAACTTTATATATATTATTGATTGGATTTATTTTACCAGTCATGATTATTATAAGTGTTTATATAAAATTAACTTTATTCATTGCACAATTGCGAAGATCTACCGTTTTAACAGGATTATCATCAACATTATCAAACCGACATGATTTACAGATGTCTAAATATATTATTTTGCTATTGACAATAGCTGCATTTAGTTTATTACCACAAACAATCTTTCAAAGTATGAAATCACCACCAAGTTATCGATATCGTATTTATTATCTGACTGAAACCATAATTACATTTTGTTGTTTTCTGTGTCTGTTTGCTTGTACATCGCTCGTCAGACGACGATTGAATCGATGGAAAGTGAAAATTAAACGTGCATTGGATTATCTAAGAGAACGATCAACTGTTCTTCGGGGAAATCGCTACTGACTTCATAAATATATTATTTTGTTTTTTAGTATTGTATTTATCATATCATATATTGTCAAAAATGAAAACATGTACAAATTATAGCTTCTATTAAAATCTGTATATTTTTCATTAATCTGATAACTTTTTCAAATCATGAACATAGTATAGAAAAGAATTTCTTTTTCTATTCTTGCTCAAACAATAAGATAAAGATTGATAATTGTTTAACTAAAGCAGTGACAGATCGAGCAGTCCGATAATTGCTACTTCATTGTAAATAAAAGTAATAGATGAATCTTTTAGATAGTCGTTCTAAAACTATTTGCAGAAAAAAAATTCAATTTTGAAATCATGAAAGTCATCAAGAAATATCGATCGTGTTTCTTAAGGTGCAATTTCATTTTAGTTGAGATCTTAGGTGAATAGCCATTACGGATACACATAGGACATTAGTCATTACTTCCATTACTTATTGAGTACTACAACAATAAACAAAAGTTTATAGTACTTAAAATAAACAGCATTGCAGCTTCAATGTAAACAAAAACAGTCTAAGCGTCTCCCTAGATGTTTTGAATGTTTTCTAAGAAATATCTAATCTTTTCACTAACTATTCTATGAAAAACTCTAAACATATTGGCGAAATACGAATATTTTATTTTTATGACTGGTTTAGTTAATGATGATTCAACTATGTTTTTAGACTAAGATATATGCATAGATAAATAAATTTTTCAAAAAAGAAGCAAATTGTGAAAACAAAATATCAGAAACAAAATTTAATAGATTAGTTATGAAGTATATTTATTGAGATTTTAGATATAAAGTTAATTCTATCGTTAATGAATTGTCTAAATCTAATCGATATCTCGATCTGTAAATTTTATTACTCATTATTTCATTTTAATAAAAATTATTTCTTCATAGATTTGTAAATTGTTTTAAATAAAAATAACATAGATAATCGTATATATGTGACCATGCTAATTGACTATAGACCTCATCGAGTACAAAATTTTTGAAGCTAGACTCGACGAGTTCTAGTTGACTGACTTTTGGAAACAAGCTCACATAACCTCAAAAGTTATTATTTAGAAATAATCGTCCACTAGCTAAAATCCTAGATCCACCACTGAAACGAATAGATTTTGTATCAAACTTGTGAATAAATTAAAGTCCTATAAAGAAAATCAATGAGATTTCTTAGATGAATTTTATATTAAGTATAAATCTAATTTCGTTTCGATGAGCTTTATAAAACGATTATTGGAATTCCTTTGTGTTATCGTCGAATTATAATGAACTCGATGTGAATAAGAAGACAAGTCATATTCCAACATATAAACTGCGTAAACTATTTTATAATAAACATTAAATACTAATTATTGCTGTATTCTTGTGACTAACGTTCTTTTTTTTCAAATACAACACTCAAACGAGTCATAAACGATATAAAATTTTAGCTAAGAAGTTCAGATAATTTTTGAATTATTTTCTGAAAATGAGCATACGTCATACATATATCATCATTAGAATACATAAAACTATAATTGAAGATAATCTTTTCACTTATTTTTATTTCATAGATTATGAAAAAAAAGATTAATATAGTCTCTGAATAAAAGTAGGCTACTCAAGTACAAAAAACACGAAAAACAAAAAACAATTCACCGGTTTATTATCACAAACTAGGTTTTTTTTTGTATATTTTTGTAATTTCTATCTTTTATTTTTCTGGTCAATATCAAGTTTATCAGTATCAGGTATTGGTCTAGGTAACCATGATCTTTGTTCTTGAACTGCACGTCGAATAAATTCATATCGTTCATTAACTAAACGATAACGTTTCATAAAATAAGTTTCTAACCATTCAATAGCAACTTGTTCTGGAAATACTTCATTCATAGATCTTTTAAAAGATTCAATAAAATTATTTAATAAATTCATAATAGGTGTTAATTTTTCTAAACATTCTTCACCACGTTTAACATGAATATAACTATATTTAACATGAAGATCAGTTACATATTTATTAACAAATAATTCAACTTGTTCAACTTGACTCCATAGAGAATGTAAAGAAATCATTGATTCATAAACACCAGCACCTGGGAATTTACATCTAAATAAATTCAATGGATTTAAACAAAATAATAAACAACAAATATAAAATATAAATTTACTTTGGCATTGGTTTAGTTAAATGTTCATGAATACTTAAATGTATATGTGATGAACATTGAAGTTCTTTTTCAACATATTCTTGTAATTGTTTATTTGAAAAAATATCAAGTTTGGGAAGACTTTTAAATGGTTCTTTCCAAGCAGCTAATGAAAAAGCCATTGATGGAATTGAATATGGTAATAATTCACATAAAGAAAGAAAATGATCATAACGTGACCAACCAGTTAAGATAATTCCATCGAAATTTTTCCATTTTGTTAGAATATATGAATTTAATTGTTCAATCCATGATACTTGATCTAAATTAATTTCAAAATTCGAATAAAAGTATCAAAACTTTATTTTGTTTATTATTTTACTTTCATAATAATGTTTAACATCACTGACAATTGCAACTTCATCTGTTGCACCTTTAAATGCTGAAGCACCCCATAAACTTTTGAATTGTCCAAAAAGTATTGATTGTGGACCAACAACAAATCCTTCAATATGAACATCTTCTCTATATGACCATAAAACAGGATTAATTATATCCATTAATTTATATTTTTGTAACATTGGACTATTTAAATTTTGTAAAACATCATGCCAAACAAATAATGATATATTAGGATTTTTTTCTCGAATATAATTAGTAATTATACCAAGATGATATGCAAATAAATCATGTTGTGTACGAATACCGGTTAACTGTTGAAATTCTTGACATGCTGGATTTGTTAAAAAATAATAAACTTCATCATGACCAATATGAAATAAACGTAAATTTGGATGTAAATTTAAATATTGATCAATCATAGCAAATAATATTGAATAGGTTTTATTTATACAAGGAGTTATCACTTGAGGATATTTAGGATTTTCACGTAAATCACTAAATTCTTTCAATTTTAATAAAAATTCCAAATGCCCTATTATAAAAGCACAAAAAAAAAATGATAGAAATTTCATATTTCTAATTTTTAGTACATCGTACAAGAATTTTTCTACTTGGAATGTTTTATCGTAAGATTTTTGCAAAAGTTGTACGGTCTGATAAGATCTTGTTTGATAGCTCGATAAGATCATATCAGATTGTATAGAACAGTTAAGTTTCGTAAAAATCTTATGGCAAGTTTTTGATACGATTTTTTTTAGAGACAATGATTTTTCGTCTGATGGTTTGATCTACATTGACTTGAGATTGAATTAGTTTTTGTATTATGTTAAACAATGTTGCGAACATCTTTTGATAAAACTAATTTGTCTCAAATAGATTGATGATTTCTAATAAAACAATTTTCATTATAGTAGATCAATTTATATTAAAGAATGATTTATCTCAACTATTGAATTTACATTGTTGTATGTTGAGTTTTCACGAACTATTTTTAGTACTTTATTAATCTGTACTTCTGATTTTCTTCATTTTTTGCAATGTGAAATCATCTTTGTTTTTGAACGATCAATCATTCGAATATTTAAGAAAAATTCTAATTCATTCATATTAAAGAAATTTCTATTAAAGATTTAGTCAATTCTATAGTCTAGAACGTTTGTATAAGTATACAAGTGTTTCAACAATGGACTTCAACTTCAATCAAATTTACGAAAACAGAAAAAAAGAAGAATTGTTCTCGTTATTTTGTTGCTAAATCAACAGGGAATATAATGTCAATGTGACTGCGAAAGTTTCTTTTTTACACATATGTAAACTCACAGGAAACATAAATAATTAGGTGTGTCAAGTTCTCATTAGTAATTTCATTGACACTTATTTGAAAAAAATATTTCTATTGTTAATATATCAAATATTTCTATTAAGATCTAATTGAAAAAGTATCTTTACATTGATAAAATGACTCACCATAAGTTTGTAATAGAGGCATAATATCTAACTGATTATCTTTTGCTAATTTATTAATTTTTTCAATATCATCTTTCGTATAAGCTTGTTTATGTCTTATATTACTAACAATACCATCAAATGGAAACATATCTTCATATTCCATACATATTCCATTAGCACCCCATTTATGTAATAATGGAAAAAGTTGTTCAAAATAAGATATTTTAGGTGCTGCACCTTTTAAATCAAAATGAACATAAACTGATACAGGTCTATTAGCTATTTTAGTTAATTCCGATGTTGATGAATTATTTTCTTGAAGTACATGACGACTTTCAATTGCTGAAGTATGTACAATTGATTCAGTATTTACATTAAATAATTCCTATAAAGAAAATTCTATAGTACATTCAAATCATTTTTTAATCTTACTCGATGAATGAAACTAGGAGATTTTTTATGATTATGTTCATGTTCAGTTTGATGATCTTCTAATAATTTATTTCTAGCTAGTACATATTGATGATTATCAGTTTTATAAAAATATTTTGTAAAACCATTTATAACAAATATAGATATTGAAAAAAGAATTACAACTAAAAATATTCTTGATAATAATGTATTACATCGACGAATAGGAAACATTATAAATAATTATTTTTCGTCATATGTTTTATTTTTTTTATTGACAAGTATATTTCTATTACAACCCAAACAATTAATCTACAATAACAAAAAAATCTGTTATGATCACTTTAACGAATTGAAAAATGATATTCAAACAGTCCAATTTCTATTTGTAAATAATTTCATCGTCGGTGAATCTAAATCAAATAGAAGGACATATGATCGTATTCTTTTTTTTGTTAGTAATGGAAATTTTTAATAATTTACTCTCTTTATTCATTTGATTAAATAAACACAATACAAAAATTGTAAAAATAAAATTTTTGTTTAAAAGTTGACAGAGAATGAGAATATCTTTTCTTATACTTATTTAATCATTCTCCATTTGAAATTCTAATTCAGTTATCCAATCGAACACGAAAGCTAAAAAAATGCATATGTTTGCAGGAAAATTTCGGTAACTCGCGTTTACTTGCAAAGTACTTTTTGAAGTCGTCGTACCTCATGCGCGAACATAGAAACTATTTTAAATATTTACACTTGTACTGCATAAATGCAAGATAATATCACATTCATAGACATATACGTCACAAACACATGCATGAAAATACAATGCTTTAAATTTCTAAGCAAAATAAGCGAGACCGTGTATGACTTTTATCCTTGTGAATAGTTGCATGAAACATTCTGACGTGTTTACACGAGATATGTTACTCGCATGTAAATACCAACGTGTTATTGGTGCGTACCTTCAAGATCGTTAGAATTTTGATTTATTCTGCGCGTCAATGCAGGAAGGTCGTATTGACGGAAACTATTATCAAAGCAACTCTGCGTCGGCATGAAAATTTCAGTTATTTTGTAGTGTGCGTGTTGCTTGATGAAAGAATTTAGTTTTCTTTTTTTTCTCGACATGTATTTAATTATTTATTTCTCATTAAAATGAAATCGCTCTCACATATCTACACTATATTGGTTCAAAAATCTTGTTCAATTTTTCGAACTCATCAATAGTTATTAGTACTCATGCTCACTCATGCTTATCAGTTATCTGATGAACATTATATCATCCAGTTTTCATAGCAATTCTAATGTAAGTAGACAGTCGCATGGTGAAGAACTTTATTTTATAACGTAAAGTATGCATATTTGAATTTTATCTCAGAAAAAAAAAACTCTTCTGTATTCCTGTATGTTTACTACATATACTTCTTTTTTTTTGGTTATTGTAAAATTGTCTTACATGCGCAAGCGAAGATTCTTTACAAAAGGTTTCATATGTCCTCGCATACAGGGACAATATCAAACGTGGACATTCGCAAAATTTTATGCATGTAAACACGAATATAGATTACTCTGTGATGCGTTCTCCTGCATGCCATGTCGTAACGATTCATACATGTACACATAGCAATAATGCTATGGGTACATGCATTTTATAAGCTTTCGCGTTTGACTGAGTAATCAAATACCGAAAATTGGTGAAAATAAAAAAACAAGTGATTAAACTTATCATGAGTTAAATCAGACTTACAGTGAATCAAGAAATAAAATAAAGAAAAAGATCATAAATCTAAGTATTTGCTTCATTGATATATTTGATAAGTATTGAAGAAAAACAAGTTTATGATTTGTTTTTTTCAATCCTCTGTACGTCTCATTTGAAAAATCGGCCGAAGTAGCGGCTTCATGTTTTTTTTCTTCACACGAAATTCTCCTCGTAATCGAAAGCTAAACCATATTTACCTTGCTTCCCTCTTTCCGTCCCATTTTTTTATAGTGCAACGTTGTGAGTATTTAAAAAAAAACAAATCTGTCAATTTATACGTCAATTTTTTTATGAATATGGTGTATTCGGTTACATATTCTAGACTTATTGATTTTGTGGCATAAAACAAGTGATGTTATTCAATTCAAAGAAAAAAAAATAAGAAATAATTATAAAAATTTGTCTAGAAAATTTACCTCAATGTATTGTCGAAATGTAATAAAATTCGTATTCTATTACCCATTAAATAAGAGAGAGCAAAGAACCAAGTTCCATTTATGCATCGTATATCGATTTTTTCTTTCTCTCATCTCCGTGTTACTATATTCACTGACATGATTACTGTATAGACTTGTCTATTGTTAGTGCTCGAGTCGATTGAAATTTAATGAGTTCTCTTTTTTTTTTTTGTCGTTCGTTTTACGTATGAACAAAGAAAAAGAAACAAAAAAAAGAAAAGAAACATCAAAAGAATAGGTAAAGAGTTCGGTGTCATGTAACGTTTGCGCGTCTTTAAAATTGTTGATCGTTAAGCAACAAATTATTTTTTTTTTCTTTCTTTTTTTTTCGACTACTTTCATATAATATTGTCGTTGAAATATTTCCTTTCTTCATTATACTTTCGAAAGTATTTTAAAATATTCTTCTTGAAGTAGTAATGGCATAAATTTTGGAAGACAAAGCAAAGAAGAGAAAAAAAAAGAAATACAAGAAAAATGTTTGAGTCAAATGATTTGTCAGTTTCGTCCGTGAATGCTATATTATAAGAAAAACAAAATTATGTAATATACATAAAGATTATAACATTATTTTTAATGTTCTTAGATGCAAAAAGGAAGACAAAATTATTATTACATCCATGAAAACTACATATAAAATACTTTCAATCCTATTCACTATGTCTTCTAAATCCTGAAACCTTATATTGTATTATGATTCATTCAATACACATGTTCAGCTTTCTTTGTGTGATTAGTAGATGTGATATAGTAATAGAAAATAAAATAAAGAAGTATATCACGCTATGAAGATACTAAATGAAATTTTTACAGTCAATCGTTAATAAAATTCATTACTTCTTCAAGGTCTTAGTCAAACATAACAAATGAGTTTCTATTTATTTGACATAAAAATTTGAAAAAAAAACATTCCATTCAATACATTTCAAACAATAGAAGGTTGCAATCAAAAAGTATCGTATGAAGAACTAAACATATTTGAAAAAAAAAAATTAATTTTTATATTTGCATATTTGCTCGATTGTAGTTAAGAGAAAGAACCAACTGTTGTGTTCAATTACTATAAAAGATGAAATGCACAAGATTTTTTGTAATTATTCAAATAAAGAAATTAATCAATCACAATGTGTTGTTGCAATAAAATAATTTTATAATAAAAATTCCTTGGTGAATTTTTCTAATAAGTAAATGTGCATAGTACTTATGATAATTAGTTGACATTCAAGTATTTCAATCAAGTATCATTGAAATAATGCCGACTATACTTGATTAATTCCTTTAGAAATAATTGAATCTTTTTTCTATCTTTTGTTCTACAAGAAGATTGATTAGGTTATGCCTTCCAGTCAAACAATCATCATTGTGATTTTTTTTTCAAATTTATTTCTCAGTGACTTCTTTTTTATCGATTGATATTATGCAAAATAATTAACAGCATTATGTCCGTTCTGATAATTATGAACCATATACACCAAATCATCCTTTTATCGGTCAGAATTGGAATAATTAACAATGATTTTATAATATAAATCTGCATTGTTATAATAATACTAATCAAATAATAAATGATAACAATAATAATTAATAGTTATCATAAATACAATATAGACAATATAGTGATTATTATGAATAATAATATAAATACGGATATGAATCCAGATCTACAGGAATTATGAGCCATATAATAATCAAAAACAAGCTGTCTGTCATTCGATGGATTGTCGTATAGCAAAGAGTATGAATACAACCAATCAACAGAATTAAGACAATACATTTTGAACAAAAGATCTCCTAATGAATCTTTTTAAGGTTCTAGATTTCGGTAACAGTTTCTGAACCTTTTTAGGTTAAGTTTAGAACTTAGAAAGGTTTTAGTGAGAAAGTTTGAAACTTAAAAACACTTCCGCAAATAGAACCGAAATCTAGAACTCTAGAAGACTCAGTATGACATCTTGTCTTCTTCAGAGAATAGAAATATTTTTTGTGAAATAAAAAACAAAAAAATTTTAGATTTATCTATGATATTTTAATTGATATTAACAGTCTGGTAAATTAGATTCATACAATTGATTTCATACAAATAATTATTCTCCATTGTCTTTGACGAATTGTATATTGAATGTATTCATATTCTAATCATTATTTTTATCAGTAATCAAAATTTATTTTCTTATTAAATTACAAATAATTACCGATGATAAAGCATCAAATTCACTTGAAGTTGACCGAGAAAAATTTTGTTAGAAACTTATTATTTTTTTCTATATTAATTTTAAAAAAACCAAACGTCATGTTCTATAGGTTTTTTCTATATTTTTTTCTGACTCGTTGGTAACGACAACTATATATATATTAGCCGAAGAAGCTAACGCACTAGAATCTATTCGAATGAGAGAAGAAAAAGAAAAAAAAATATTATGTTGAGGATAATGGTGGCGGTCGGATCCGATTGATGGTGGTGCATTATTATTATTTTTTTTTTCTGTTGTTCCCATGATTCCCTTTCTTTCTAGCATGAAGAATCATAGTCCATTATCCCTTATTTTAAGTTTTTGCTCGATATTCTTGTTGATATCAGCAGAGAAATCACCAAATACATTAGATATTGTTATGCCTGATGCAGTTGCTACTCATGTTCGTATTTTATGATATAATATGAAACCATAAAATTGTATTATTTGATTAGGTCGATGATTATCTATGTACATCATATGAAATGGATTCAGATAACCCGACTTATATAAGTTAGTATTTAAGAAAAGAATAAGGTAATGATAAATTTTTTATTTATTTTGAATTTTAGCTGCTTTTAACCCAGCAGCAACATCAAAAGATGCTCACCATATTTTACTTTATGGATGTACAGAACCAGGCAGTCATCAAAAGATTTGGTAGGATCTAAAATAAAAAATTAATTTTATAACAACAAAACAAAAGATTGTTTTGCTTTTAGGAATTGTGGTGAAATGGCTTATTCAAATGATAGTTCTAAAAAAAGTTACGAAACTGGACCAACATGTGCTTCGGGTGCGACTATTATTTATGCTTGGGCTTTAGATGCTGATAAGACTGAATTACCAAAAGGTTGAATTTCTAATAAAATAAATTCAATGTTAAAATAAATAAGTTAATTCTTTGTAGATGTTGCTTTTAAAGTTGGCGTTTCAACACCTATAAAATATCTCGTATTACAAGTTCATTATGCCAATATAGATAAATTCAAAGGTAATTAATTTAATGATAAGTAAATTAACAATAAAACATATTTATTTTAGCTGGTCAATCTGATCGTTCAGGTTTAATTCTCACAACGTCACCTGTACCGTAAGTACAAATTGCTTCTAACGAACATTAGTCACTCATAGGTTCTCTAAATTTACGTGATTAGTTTTGAGAGATTGAAGGGTTTCTTTTTTAATGCTTCTGCTTAATTTACACTTTTATAAAGATTATCAAAGAGGGCTGGTGTACTGCTATTAGCAACTGATGGTGCAATTGCACCTTATTCACTTGGTAATTTATACGTGTTATTAGTTTTCATAGTTGTTGTACTCATTCTATGCTTTTGTATATGTTTGTTATTATTTGTATTTGCTCGCTATTTTTATATGTAGTACACCTAAGCGCGCTGGTATCTTTCTCCTTGTGACTGGCGGTCATATTGAACCGAAAACCGAAGGTCAGTTCATATCTTGCCTTTCGTGCACGTTAAAGTCTATTTCTCATATCTACTTTTTTCTTTGGATTTTACTAAGAAATAGTCTTCTTTATTTTTAGAAGTATTTGAAGTAGCTTGTGAAATTAAAGACGATATTGTGATGCATCCATTTGCTTTTCGTACTCATGCTCATAAACTTGGTAAGATTTTGTTTGATAGTAAAATATTATTAATTATTTAAATAAAGGTCTTGTAAATTCTGGATATCGAATACGTGGTGAAGGTGATGATCAAGAATGGACAGAAATTGGTCGACGATCACCTCAGTTACCACAAATGTTTTATCCAATTCAAAGTGATGTTCCAATTAAACAAGGTGATTATGTTGCTGCAGCTTGTACAATGTTTAATTATCAATCACATCCTGTTAGAATTGGGTATGAACATTTTTATTATTTATTTTCAAAATTATTGTCTATTTTTATAATTTAGTGCAACTGGAAATGATGAAATGTGCAATTTTTATATGATGTATTGGGTTGATGGTGATAAAATATTAGAAGATGGTTTTTGTACAAGTAGTGGACCTCCACAATATTATTTTGGATATGATCGAGTATGTTCATTTTTTTTTTTTGCTTTATATATTTAATTTTTTTGTTTTATTTTAATTATTTAGAATTTAAATGTGGATAAAATTCCTGAAAATGCATTTCGTATTCCACCACCACCAAATGGTCCAGCTCCTGGTGAACCTTTACAGGGAGACCATCATATGACAATGCAACATAAAACAAATCCACGTAAACGACAAAATCGTTTTAAATATATCTTTTAAGATGAAAAGAAAGATTTTATTTTATTTTTAAACATCATTCATTCTATTGATTTAATATTGAAATAATAATAATAATAAAGACTACAAGTTTACAGTGCAATAAGAAAAAGCCAACCGTTTTCAAATGAGACTGGTAATAAATTAAACGAACTACCTTGTATAAAATGGAGATATATGTTTTTATTTGTTCAAGTTAAAAATAAAACATGTGATTATGACAGGTGACTTTTAAATAATAAATATATTTATCTTGCATGTGAAAAATAACATTTGTTCGTCTTTGATTTTTTTTTAGTTTTACAGATAAACTTTATATTAAGATAAATGAATTTTGTTGTTGAATGGAATTTTATGATTAATTAGTAAAAATTAGTATAATAATTGTTTTTGTTATCCATGAGAAATTTATCCAATAACATGACAGATTTTATAGATTTATTTTGTTTTTCCATGTTATTGATTTATTTTCTGTTCGTAAAGGTTTTAGAGTTTGACTCATAAATATTGCATCATCATTCAGATATTATCAATAAAAAAATTCAACATTTTATGTGTATATGATGCTATTCATAACTGCAATCTAGAGTATAAAATAATTAATAAAGAAAAAGTACCAAGGCCTTGAAACTTTTCTTTCGATGTTGAAATCATTGTTAACATTGATTTCCGAAAGTTTGTTTGTTTGTTTGTTTGGTATAGTCTACTGAGATTTATAAGAATATTGTTCGTGATCTTAGTGAGAGAAAAAAAATGTAGGAATAAAATTTTTATGACACACAATCTAAAAGGAGTGTCAAAGTATAGAGATGGAAATCCAGGCACTACCTATCCTCTGTATAGACCGTGACAGACAATCTAGCAACGCTTCTTTCCATTACCTTAGCAACGACCGCTCTCTTACCACAAACCGTAAAAGACAATTTAACAGCATCCTCTTCCATTGCAGAACCTATCAAAAATCTTAGTATTGTCACGGACTGTAAAGCATACTCGCGAAAGTGAATTTCCCCGTGCATTTATTATAAAATATGGTTGAATTTAAGACACTTGTCATTTGTCGACTTTTCTCATTCATTGTAATATATGTGATTAACATCTTTCATCATCGACACTAATTAAAAGTAGGTAGTAACGCAGAAATTACAAAATATATTCATGAACTCTTTCATTTACAATGTAAGTAATTTGATCGTATTTCATATTTTTATTTCATAGAGATTGTGTTAACAGCTTTACATAGCTCTTGTCAATTAGTCTGTATTGATTAGAGACTTGAATTGTATTGTGTTTGAACATAATTTTACTTTGAGTGCACAGAACAAATTCTATAATTACGTTTACAATACTCTGTTAGAAAACAAAAAATATTTCATGATAAGAAATAAAAATAATGCCATGACAAAAAAAACTTGACATGTGTTGAAAATATTCGAATTATTGACAAATATTTTTAATAATTCATTCATTTTTACATATTATGAAAGAGACAACACAATAATACCTAATTTAAGATTATCAATTCAAAATATATTCAAATTTATATTACTTTAATCATTAATAATTCAGATTTTTCAAAGTTTATTCGTTTCTATGCTTAAATTCATATCGATCAAAATTGTTCGGTTTCTTAAAATATTATAAATGGCAAGGGAAAAATTTTCCTTTTTTTTTCAAACAACTGTCAAGTCTACAGACATCTATATCTACTTTTAAAAATTAGTATCAATTTTGTGGAACTCACATCTTTTTTTCGACGAAAATAGTGAGTGTAAGTTTTATGTCGAAGTTTTGCAGGTATCCACTACATACTTTAGCAACTGAGTTAAAAGTCATTGATTAAAGTTTTGCGCCCCCGCTCCTCCCTCTGCATTATAAATCTTAGCTACCACAGACATAAATGAATCATTTTAATATTAATGTCATTTATAGTTAAGTAGGCAAAAAATCAGAGACTCACATAGCGAATAACATCGATTGAAATTTTAAGATCAAAGAAAAAAACAAGCAAAGGCAAGAGTGTGGAATTAATGTACTAATATGTGTACTAGTAATAGTCAGATAATATTTTGCTTTTGCTTATCGTACTTAGTATCTCAGTCTCTGTCTGTAACTGTTTCAATTTATGAGAAGTATCATGATAGTTATTTATTATTTCATGCATTTTGACTGTTGTCATATTTCTTTTTTCATGATACCGTAAAAACACTAGTGTTGCTATTTGATGAAAAAAGAAAATGATTTCTTTATTATAAATTAAGCAACATTTTATTTTTATATGTCAAAGAACCTATAACAATTTAATCAGATCGAAAATGATTTTAAAGAAAAAATATTTTTGATATTTTGTGAGCAATGTTGATCACTATTAATAAGCAAATAAATCTTTCATTGTATAAAACTTTAATTGATTTACTTTATTTGTTCCAAACTTTGAAGTATATTTCATTACATTAAAAAAAAATTATACTACATTATGAATTAGTTGATATGGAATATGTGAGTTCCATGTTCCAGTCTCAAAGGAGCTTCGCTAACAAGCTGTTGTATCAAAATTTTTCATCATTAGTTGAAAGTAAAATCTAATAATTTTGTATATTCATTAGAAAAAAAAATTACATTTTGTCATTATTCAATAATGAATCATTGGCTCATTTTGATAAATTAAATTTACATATAGATCGTTATATTAATAAACATATTTCTAAGCTAACTAACTTTGCAAGAAAAAAAAAGTATTGTATATACCATCAAAAGAGTAATTATATGTACTATTACTTGATGTTATAAACTAGCCAAGAAAATGCAATCTCAAAGCTTTAACATAAATGTACTCAAGGCCATCTGTCCTTGATTAGAAGAAAAACTATTTTTGGCTCGATAGATTTGTGATACTAAGATTATTTATGGAAATTTGATACATGATTGAAATCTTTTATTTTTTATCAATAAAAAAAAAAATTGTGAAATAAAATTTTAGATTATTCGGTATCAATTAGTTTTAGTGAGATAATTTCATTAAAAAAAAACTATATTGTTGAATTTAATATTTTTAATTTACCGGACAATATCGATGATATTAGACGTGAACCAATAGCAATACAAATATGAATACGAACATTCTAAACATGATTATTTTGCCACTGTTTCTTTATGTATTACTTGGTGTCCCACTTGTGATAAGTAATGTGGGATTGTTCTCGCTTCATCAAATATGTCTTTTATGGTAATATCGATCCCACGAAATCAAATGAATAATATTTCTATGCCTCTTATCCCATTTTAAAGTGGGACAGATTGACGCATTTGAGTAAAATTTGGGTTATGGGATATACTTTGCACTATTATTTTTTATTCATTGCCCTTTTTCATTATTATTTTGTTGTTTTTTTTCTTTCGATCGACCTATAAAAGGTGCTGTATTCGGCTGATATTGAAAATAAAAGTATCAGCTACGTGAAACAAAACGATATGAAGGTATATCTATCGCTGATATGCATATGGTGTGTTGTGACAATATGTCAAGCTGGCTTTGTACGTGTATTTGAAGATAATTTCGATTATGATGGTGGTGTTGATCTTAATAAATGGGATTTCGATGTCGGTGGTCATGGATGGGGTTTGAAATTTATTTTTATTTTTATTTATTTACTTTTTATTTTTTTTTTCTAATATAGGAAATAATGAAGAACAATATTATACACACAATCGACGGGAAAATGCTCGTTGTGAACGTTTTCCAGGTAGTGGAAATGGTCGTTTGATCATTGAAGCACGTAGAGTAAGATATAAGATTTAAATTAATTAGAATATTTAATTATTATACAAATTTAATTTTTATTAGGAAAATTTTGAGGGTCGTAGGTTCACTTCAGCTCGTTTGAAGAGTAAAGCTGACTGGACATATGGTCGTTTACAAATTCGTGCTAAACTTCCAGTTGGTCGTGGTCTATGGCCAGCACTTTGGTTGGTAAGTTTTTTCTTTGTTATTTCAAAAATAATTTCTTCTATACAAATGAAATTAGTTACCTCGAAGATCAGTTTATAGTGCTCAGTATTGGCCAGATAATGGTGAAATTGATTTAATGGAACAAGTTGGTTATGATCCACACCGGATTCATTCAACAGTTCATACAAAAGCTAATAATCATATGTTAGGTAATCATCCAAGTCATTCTGTTATTGTTGGTGATGCTACATCAAATTTTAAAATTTATACACTTGACTGGAATGTTGATAAAATTGAAATGTTTGTTGGCGATGAAGGTAATCCATTTCAAACAAGAATTTTTATTTGGAATAAACATGGAGATTGGACTACATGGTATTTTTATTTATTTATTTTTGATTCGAAATTTTATCATCTTCTTTTTATTTATCTTAGGCCATTTGATCAACCATTTTTTGTTCTTCTTAACGTTGCTGTTGGTGGTTTCTGGTAAATAGATTCGTTTAGACAAAAAAAGAGAAGGATTATGATTTTTTTTTTCTATTATTAGGGGTGGTTCACAAGGCGTTGATGAAAACGTTTCAGGTCGAATGGAAGTCGATTGGGTTTATTATTATCAATGGCGTTAAATATCAAAGTTGATATTTTTTTTCATTATAAAAATCAATAAAAAAATGAATAAAACAAATTATTTTCGTTTGACTTTATGTTATTTGTTTTTTATTTTCATTTCATTAACAATATATCAAATAAATAATATAGAGTATATATCAACTATGCAATTAAACACAATCAATATCGAATTATATTTGCTTTCTTAACATTCTTCTTTTTTCTTAATAATAAATATTTTCCTTTCTTTTAATCTTGATATCTCTGTTTTTTTCTATGATTTATAAAGATAAAATTGATTTACTCTCTTTCAAATTGTCTACAGTATTAATTATATAACACTAGAAAATATCACACTGACATGACAAAATATACTATTATTATTATTTTCTTTAAATAATTAGTCTCACATACATTTATTCTTATAAGATAAAAGTTCAAGAAAAAAGAAAATGTTTAAAATATCATCGAACATCAATTTATTGAAGTTCAGGATTTCCGCTAATAATTACTATCATGATATATGATCACATCATGAAAAGAAATTATAAATTTTAATGTTGAAAATCATGTAAAACCTTTAGTTTAAAGTGTAATACTCTATGGAAAATTATTTTATAACACGACATATAGCGTGTTTTTGCTAATCTCTAAATAAAAATCAGCATGCATAGTTCACTCTAAAAGATTATGTTCATTTACTTGATTAAAATAAAAAAAAAAATCATGCTTGACTTGTTTTTTTTAACGGTGCAAAATATAAACATAAAAAAATTTGATCTAATAATGATGGTTGAATAACTTAATGAATCCTATATTTAGATAATTTATGCTCTAAACATTTTTTTCTTATCAACCGTTTTTTTTTACAAAGTTACGCCTTCCATTTGTTACCTATTATTAATGTTTAAGAAGCTTTTTTTTTCTTTGACTGCATTCAACAGAAAACATAATTTTCTTTAGTTATAATAAATGCTCTTGTGTCTTTTTTTTTTATCAATGAAACATTATATCCTAAGAAATACTGGGTAATTAGGTGCTTCCGGAAAAATCCAAGCGTATTGAAAAGCTAATATCATCATCAATCTGTTTGTCACAAATTGATACACGAAGGAGACAATTTTGTTTTGTTTCTTTTCATTGTTCGACCGGAGAAAAATGTCACATTCGAAGAGACATAATCAAATCTCTCAAATTCTTCGCCAACACATTCATTATTATCGTCGAGATATTGTATTTTCTGACTAAAGAATGTGAAATGATGATAGAGCATTGCTCGCATTCTAATGATTATCATTAAAATGTCCGAAATAGAAAACATTTTCAAATATATATATTTATATATACACACACATATATATATATTTATAGATAAGTCAATATGATTTTTTAAGAGAAACAATATTGAATAATTCATGTAGAAAAAAAGAAACATTTCTCTTCTATCCTCGTAGTTTTATGTGTACTATATTGAACAATAATAATAGCGGAAAATCTTCTATTATTCGTTATTGATTTGCTTTTTTTTTGCTTGTTGTCATTTGTCGGTATGTTTGTCTATATATTATTCTCGTGAATGAAAATGACGGAGTAGCGCTACTCAAGGAAGATAAAGATCCTGACAAACGAGTAACAAAAAGTAAGTGTGAGAAAAGAACGTCCAACTAACTATAGGAAATGAGCGACTTTGACGAGTAAAATGTATTTAAATAAAGAACAAGCTGTAAAGACACCATACCGACATTAAATAGACAAGCTTTTATTTAATCTTAAAGCCATATTGAAATTCATCAGTATAATTCATTTTTTAATTTTTATACATGGAACGAATTCATCTATGTGGTCGACGATGGTCCGATGCTTTACTTGCTAAGTAAGCACTTTACTTATCATAAAAATATGAAAATATAGAAACTTCATTTCATCATTTTTAATCATATCGGTAAACATTTTTATCATCTGTTTACATCTATGAATAATTTACAAAAAAAATTAACTATGACTTCGAGAAACCAGATTTTTTTTTCTTGTAACTAATATTAAATGAATTTGAAAAAAAATCTATACAAAGAAAATTTTCTTAAACAATAGAATTCAGATTTTGTATGCTGAAAGACACTTAATTTTATTCGACTAGATATAGATTCCTCTATCAAACGTTTATCTATTCCAAATTCATAATTAGATTTTTTTTTTTTACTTTTTTTTTTTTTACATATTGACATTGATAAAAATAGCCATCAATTTAACTGAATTTTTCTAAGAGCATCTTTCTTTTCAATAACAAAATTAATGTTAAAGACAAGTATATAAAAATAAATATTTTATATGTATCTTCAATCTCATTTAGATTATCATACATGGTATTAAGTTACAAGAAAACTGCGTAATTACGATTTCGAGGTCTATTTATATGTCTCAATTGTTGATGCGAACTGGAAAAGTACTTCGTTAATATTAAGATGAATAGCTAAAATACTTGACTGAAAAGACGTCCGCTTCATTAGATAAACAAATAATTGTTTTTTTACAACCATAAGAGTTAAAAAAAACAAATTGTTTTAAACGTCTTCTGAGTTGATAGACGGAAAGATGTTTCTCTTTTTGAGTATTTGTTTTCAATTTTTTTGAACTCAACAATTGTAATAATTTGAAAGTCATTAATTGCTACGCATTTTCTAGTTCTAATAATTAATTTTAAATAACAAATTTCTAGATCATATCAAGGGTATTTTTCACTTATTTGTATTCAAATAAGCAGAATTAATTGAATATAAGGTAAATTGTATTATCTTTAATGAAAATCAGACGTTTTTTGATTCTTTTTTATTTTTCTATTTATTGAGCAATATATAATACTTGATGTTTTTCTATGATTAGCTTAGAATATTTCTGTCAAATTTTGTTTTTGCAAACTTCAAAAAGTTTGAATGTGTCTTAAATTAATTATCAAAACAAAAGTATCTTAGATATATAAGTAAGCAAATATTCCGAAAGAAATTGTAATCTATTTGTTCTTTTTTTTTTTTCTTATCTAATATCCTAATAAAATTGTATTCTATCCTTGAGTGCGAATCAAATAAAAACAATTGGTATTTACATCCTTTTCATATTTTATGAATTCCGACAGAATAAAATAGGAGATGTTTTCATTAATTGAATTATTTGTTTTATTTTTTCATTTATGAAGATAATCCATTTTTTCTAAAGATAATTAATGCTAAAGAGAATAGAAATTAAAAAGTTGTTAATCTATTATTATATAATCTTTTGTATCTGTTTCATAATCATGTTTCATTTATTCATCACTTTTATCTGGATTTTTTTTTTATCTAAATAGAACTTGATTATATACACATTATTTCATAGAAATAAAGGATAAATTAGCTACATAATTTAAGACGTAAATCTAGAAGAGAAAAATATTATCAAATGTTCAATATTTGATATTTTTGAATAGGTCAAATAAATGAGATTCAAACAATAATAATGAATGATAAAATTTATCTAGACAAAATATTAGTTTAACAAGCAATTTTAGTCTGCATGGCAATGTATATTTGCCACACTGAGAACTAAACCATGTTTATTTAAGTGGGGTAGGAAAATACTAGAAAAATATGAGCATGCCTTTGTGGGTGGTGTTGCCATTAGAGTTTCTCTGACGTTAATTTGAATAGATAAGAAAATTGCTATTGTTATTAGTGTTTATTCTACCGAGTATAAAAAGTCTAATCCATTAAACTATTTAAAAAAAAATGAAAGAATTAATAAATGATAAATTATCTAAAGCGATTGATGTGATTGTTTCATAGAAAATTTATTTCTCATTCTTTTCGATTTAATCTGTTATTCATCAAATCCTTTTCATCAAGAATCCGGTATATGAGGAAGAAAAATAAAAAAAGAAACAAATTTTCATATCTACATTCAAGTTTTTCTTTCTCATTCAGTTTGAATCTTTTGTTTTATGCTCATTGAATTAACATCAATACAGTAATATTCATTCATAAATGATCAATAGATTGAATGTTTACAGATGAATATACAATGAGTAGGATGAGTCAATAGCAAAAAAAAAACATAAGAATAATGACAACAACAACAACAACTTGTACTGATGTTATTCAGTGAAAATCAACAAAAATATAATTTATCATTATTGAAGCATTATTCTCAAAGGTGTGATTAATTTTGTTTTTTATATGAATGAGATGAAACATTAAGCAGAGTTATTGTGAGAAAAACTTGAAGATGATAGATTTAAAATAAGAATAATAGCTATTGAAATCATAATATAAATAGCTTTTAATCTAATATAATACCCGTTTTTAAAGAGTTTCATGTCAATAGAACGGAAAATAGATAGTTAAGAAGAGACACACCATCGGCTTTCTTTTAACGGAAAAAATGGACTATAAAAGCAATCGAATGATGATTTATATGATGCTATAAAAGAAACAATTGAGCAAAATACAATTGTCTTTATGGATTGAAAAGAAAAAAGGAAAAGTCATTGTTTGATCTTCAATCATCTTCATTTTTAACTTTAGTCTACAAGTTCTTCTTTTCAATATAAGAATAAAAATTGACGATCATACAAATGATTTTATTTTCCAAATATATATATATATAATTGTTTGAAAGCATTACTAAAACACACACATACACTTTTAAGCTTTATGAAATCCTTCTTATTATCTATCACATAAAGTATCCATGATATTACTTCTGACAAACAAATAATAGGAAAGAGAAAAAAAGAATTATCATTGAAACTGTTTACTATACTTTTTTATAATTAATTTCAAATACAAGTTGATAAAAAATAAAACAAACAGATATATTCCCTAAGTTTTTCTTTTTTTTTTTTTTTTGTATTTTTCCATTGAATCACGACATATTCATTATCACCTATATTGATCTATAAAAGAAGGATCACGATCTTTATTCACACTTCATGTTCTTTTTTTTCTGTGTTATATATTCTTTACTTGGAAAAGAGTTCTTATTTTCATTTTTATATATATAATATATGCTTTCTCGATACTTTTCTTTTTTTCCCCTCTTCAACAGTAATCATGTAAGAATACATTATGATACTTAGGAATGAAAAAGAATGACGGATGATGGAAAAAAAGCAGAGAAGAAGGAAATTTTTCTCTGATATATATATATATATTCCCCTTTTTCTTGACATGGTCTAGTAGATAAAATACAAGTACGGAAAAAACTTAAGAATGATATTATCACTTCAACAAGAATCGAAATTTTCTGCTGCACTTTCAAAACGGTAGATATTTATTGAATTAATAAGAAAATACTTTAGATTAATTGTAAATATATCAAAAAATAATTATTTCGATGAATTTAGATTTGAAAATGAAGGTGTACATGCATTTTTGGAAAACTTCGAAGCTGTTGCACAAAAACATGAACGACGGCGACAAAAAATAAAAAAAGATGTATGTAGACAAAAAAAGTTTTCGTTGTCTGTTAATTAAATAGTTTTTTTTTATTTGTGTAAAGGAAGAAATCGAAAATGAAAAACTTCCTTCTGAATATCGAAATACATTTAATGTTAAACCCCAAAGAATAACATCAAATGAATACGAACTACTTTATATTGAAACATTATATACAATAAAACATAAAATTGGCACAACAACATCACGATATATTCAAGGTGAAAATGATCTTTATGCTTATGCACAAGAAGCATTTGGATTATCAAATGGAGATCATCAACGTTTATTAGAGAAAGCTAATGAAGAAAAAGTTTGTTTTGATAAATAAAAAAATTAAATCTTAAAATAACCCACGATGCAAAAGTATCCGTACAAATGTCTGAGACTATTGCGCAGCAAGGATGAACCATAGAAATCGAATTAATATGTCGTCTGATAGAGTGAAATGAGCCCTTTTGAATGATGTATGTCTTATTTGTTCATCAGAAAAAATGAGACTAACGTAGGCAAAACATGGAGGGCTTCTCAAATGAATTGTTATCAGGTGTACCAAAAGTTTTGTGACATTTTTTGTTTCGCATATATCTCGGTTTGAAAAAATGATAAATTCATAATTTTTTTCATAAAAGATGCGCCATGAAAATCTCTATAAAAACTATATGCAAAGATCTCTATTAACTGGTTCTCATGGTGTTTTCCATCCTCAATATGTACAACCTGCATGGTAGTACAATGTCCCAAAGTGTTGAGCATGATAAAAATGTTTGAAAGACTTTTTTCTTTTGCAATAGAGATTTGTTCATGGAACTGATGTAGAGCTTTCGACACCGCATCTTTCAAAACAAATCAAGATGCTATCATTTTCTCAAACCGAGATATATGCGAAACAAAAAATGTCACAAAACTTTTAGTACACCTGGTAACAATTCATTTGAGAAACCCCTCCATGTTTTGCCTACGTCAATCTCATTTTTTCTGATGAACAAATAAGACATACATCATTCAAAAGGGTTCATTTCACTCTATCAGACGACATATTAATTCGATTTCTATGGTTCATCCTTGCTGCGCAATAGTCTCAGACATTTGTACGGATACTTTTGCATCGCGGATTATTTGGTATTTTTATTGTTATATTTTTTTTAGCCACCAATATTAATTTTACTTGTCGAAATAGTTGAAGCAAAAGATCTTGAAGCAAAAGATGCAAATGGTAAATAAATTTGTTTATTTAAAAGAAATTTTTATTTGAAATAAAATAGGATTTTCTGATCCTTATTGTATGTTGGGTATTGTACCTGAAAGGCGTCATTTTCTTACTTCTCAACATTCAAATGGTGGTGGTGGATTATCATCAGATGAAGAAGGAGCGAATGCTAATACACTACATGATAATAAACTTGGTTTTATGAAACGTTTAAAAAGTTTTCGAAAATCAACATATCGACGTGGACAAGGACGTGAAAAAACTATTTTAACAACTGGTTCAAGTCTACAATATCATTCTAGTTTAAGAGATAAACTTCCAGCAAAATATATTCAAACAACAGATGTTAAAACAGCAACATTGAATCCAGTTTGGATGGAAAAATTTCGTTTGTAAATATTTTTCATAAAATTTAATATCTATTATTTTCTTTTTCTTTGAAAAAAAAAGTCATCTTGAAAGTGGAAAAACTGAAACTTTTCATTTGGATATATGGGATCATGATGATGAATTTTCTGTATTTGAAGCAGCAAAAAAATTAAATCAAGTGCAAGGTTTTAAAGGACTTAATCGTTATTTTAAACAAGTAGCTCAATCAGCACGAACAAATTATTTACATGAGAGTTCACATGTTGATGATTTTTTGGGTTCTGTTAATCTTAAAATAAATGTATGTTTTATTTAAAATTAGATTTCTTTTAATTCTTTTCTTTTTGTTCTATTAATATCTTCAATAGGAAATACCATCAACTGGCATTGATAAATGGTTTTCATTAGAAGGTCGTAGTGAAAATTCTAAAGTTCGAGGACAAATACATATTCGAGCTAATTTAACAACACGAGAAGATCGTGGAATATCTGAAGAAGATAATTGGACGGATATTAAAGAACATGTTGAACTTTTACAAATATTTATTGATCATGAATTAAAGAAATTTAAGGTTTGTATTATTTCTTTTTTAACATACAAATCATATGTATTCAAGTTTTTCTCAAGATATTTTTAGTATTACACATAAATAGAAAACTTTTATATGTTATTTGTAGATATTAAAATTAAGACAACGTTCGAATAATTATTAAATTTCTTTTCTTTTAATTTCAGGGTGAAACAACTCAATGGACAGGTGAATTATCACGTGATGCTGAAACAATTTTACATCAACATGCAATACAAGGTGGCATAACAGATATTCAACAATCAATGTGTCGTTGGATAGCATATTCAAAAAAACATTCTGAACATATTTTAGCACATAAATTATTATTATCAGTCACTGAACAATTAGAACAAACATGGAAGCCAACATCATTAAGTAGAGATGAAAGTGATGTGTTAAGAGAAGCATTTACATTATTTATAAATCATGGTTTTAAACAATTAGCCAAAATTCGAGAACTTTTTCCAGCTACTAATAAAACTTCGATGGAAAGACTTGAACAACTTTTAACGTAAAATCAAATAAAAAAAGATATAGATATATATATGTATTTCTTTTTTATTTATTTTCCTTTTAATATAGGATTCTCATGAAATTACATAGTATGGAAGTATTTCGGCATTGTTGCCCATTTCAAAATAGTCTACAACATGAAATAACATCAATCATTAAAGTAAGATTTTGAAGGAAACTAGAAATTTTATTAAAAATTAATCTTTTTTTTTAATTTTTTTTATTAAGACAGGAACAATTGAATGGTTTAATCGATTGGCTACACAAATAACAAAACCACGCTTAAGAGTAAGTCTTATTTTAATCATTATTCAAAATGAAAAACTTTCTTGTGTTTTTGTTTTCATTAGTCTGATGAAGATATATTGAGAAATACAAGTGAATTGGTTTATATTATGATTGCAGATGGTAAGTTAATTTCGATTGGAATTTTTCTATTGATTTGATTTTAACAAAAACAGTTATTAAGTGTATTTTTATCGGAATATTAAAAAACTGATTACAAATGTTATTCATATGATTTAACATGCAGCAGGAGTATACTTCATCTTTGAGTTAAAATCTTTCGATGATATATTATAGAGAATTTGACATTTGGATTAATGTTAAGAAGTTTAAATCATGTTTGAAATCATACTAAATTAAAGATTTTCTTTAAGTTTAAATAATATTGAAATGAGAGAATTAGAACGAGTTCAAGTCACCATAAATGTACTCATAGAGGATAAATGAAATAAGAGAATATTGTAAATTTTTAAATATTTAATGATAAGCGAAAATTTTGAAGAATATATAAAATATTATTTTTCTTGTTTAGCTCATTTGTGTATCAAATATTACAATCCAATATTTGACTCGTATGTTCATTATTTTAATAATAGTATTTTATTGAAATTTTTCTATTAATTTTAGTACTGTAAAAATGTCTTTTTATAATATATCATTTAAAAAAATCGATGAAAAAGTAAAATAAGTTTTTTTTTTTTTAAATAAAAAAATTTTGTTTTTTGTTTCCTTTTAAACATAAAGTTAATGGATATTGTCATAAAAGCTCTTGAAGAAGAAGTAAGATTTTTATTAATTGATTAAAATTTTAAACGAAAATTTTTTTTAATATCAATAGCTTGGTGAACAAGTTCATCAATGTCCATCGACATTCTTGGAAATAAAAGAACCAGATTCAGCTGATGTTCTTGCATTTTCAGCAGCAGCTGAACAAATAAGTTTATGTTTATTTGAACTTTATTTATCACTTCATGAATTATCAAAATATAAAATTTATGTTAATGAAACGTTTGTATCAAATATTTTAATTATTTTCAAAAGTAAAAATACAAGAAAAAACAAATGTTTCTTTTTTTTTTTTTTTTTTTTATTCAGTGATCGAGTAAATTTAAAAATTACTCAGTATTATATGTATTTTGGTGCAGCTGTTAAAAAATGGTTATCACTCGCTCGAAATAAAATTCTTCATCGTATTGAACGTTCTGTTGAAAATGATAAATATGAAGCTGCATTAACATCAACACATAATGTTAAATTTACGCCTTCATCATTAGATGTATCTAGTTGTTTCAGTCAAATATCACAATTTTGGCGACGATTGGGTATCACAAAAAAAGAAAAAATTCTTTTTTTTAATATAAAAAATAAGTTTTTAAATTATAGCATGGCCTGATATAATCACTTCAATAGCATATTTAATAAAAATAACTGAAGATATGGCAAATGCAACATGTCTCTATGCAATGTTAGTTGAAGGAAAACTTAATGCAAGAAAATTATATGAAACAAATGATTTATCTTATTATACACAAGAAGTAAATTGATTTTGTTTTTGTTATTTTTGAAATAAAAGATTTTTATTTTAAATTTTTTTTATTTAGCTTTCTTTAGTTGTAAATGATATTGAACGTATAAGAGATTCATTTAAAACTTTACCTATTGAATTATCTTATGATAAATTATTAGTAGCAGCTGAAAAATTTCATTCAATTGCTGTTGTTGATGAATATAGAAAAAAAATTGAAACAACTGTTGCAATATGTAGTCATGAAATTATTGATAAAATTTATCAAATTTTAAATAAAATTGTTACTAAAATGGAAATAGAATTAAAACAACATATAGTTCATATTATCGACACACCAGAACATATTTTACTTCAAGATACTATTCAACCATTGATTACATATCTTGATACTCGACTTTTACCATTTAAAGATTTTTTAATAAGGCAAAATTTTACAAGGTAATATAATTAAAGATAAAAAAAAACAAGTTTTGCAAAGCAACGAAATGCAAGCAATACTCTTTGATTTTGTTAGAGTGTTTTTATAAGAATTGTTCAATATAAAATTTTTCTCATTACTAAAATCATTTCTTCTAAAACATAGGATAATAGAAATAGATAAAGAATTTCGTTAGGGTATAGTGTAAGACTCTCAAATTCAGTTTTTTTCTTTTTGAACGAAAGTCTTAAGAGATTTGTCTTTGTAAAGTAAATGTGCCGGAGGCGAGACATCGATCAAAAACATTTCGTGACAGGTATTCATCTATCAAATTTATAAAGAAAAGAGAATGCAGTGATATTGGTTGTCGACATGCTAATATAATAAAGCGTCAGATAGATGAAAGCAAATATTGTATTAAATATCTATCAAAAAATAACATGTAAATAGTTTTTGAACAGTTCAAGGAATACAAATTGTACTTTTAGAACTTTATTTTAAGTTCTTCGAAATTTTATTTAGCATAATTATTTTAAATGAGCAATTGGTAGATATAAATATTAGAATAAAGATTAGTTTAATTCGTACTCGAAGTTGAGTACGTTTGTAATTCGAACCTATATGTCACATTTCGTTTAAAAATGTTGATAGCTTTTTCGAATCTTCATCGATTTGTATATTAAAATTACATGAATCGTTTCGAAAGATATTCATATTGATTTTTTTTTGGTGAGATTTAAAACATTTTGGTAGCGACGAGATATAACGAGAGCTAGTGAACTCTTGAATCTTCTCACAGTCTCATGAAGTGTCTAGAAACCTCATAAAATCTAATGAATTCTTCAAGTCTGTTGTTTTTTCATTTGTCTAGAGTATGAATCATGAGATGAATTTAGTTTTCTGTTAAATATCTTTTGGAAAATGTATCACGCACATACTCAGTTTCATTGATTTTTGTTTATGATACTATGAACTTTCCACTTTGATCGAGCAATATGGTACGTATATGGCCGTTAACATTTATATACGGGTTGTTTACACACCGTACCTTCCCTGTAAAACAGGCTAATGTTTCGCAAGCGTGTTTAATGAGAATATGGCATTCATAAAACTATATACTACGTAAATACAGTACACCGTATTACGTTGAAGATGAGATACGATCTATTTTCGTATCGTAGATTAACGTAAATAGTGCAAAATGCGGGTACGTATAACTATCGTCTTGAGTTATGGCAGATGTCCATGACAATAGATTTTCATCTTCAATGAAAAACTTTGCTCTTTCTGTGTTTTTCTGATTTTTTGAGAATGTGATACCATTTGAAAACAGAGTAAGAGTTGTTTTTGTTAATTTGTAACTAATATGTAGTTTTAAAAGAATATTAGTTGATATTAAAAAATCATGAAAAAGTTGATTTCTAATCATTTTTCTTTTTTTTTTAAATAGATTATTAGAACTTGTTTGGTCTATTCTCATCGATCAATTTCTATTAGAAATCGAAAAAACATCAAAACCAGTAGGAATTTACCTATTTTCTCAAACTTATTTTCTAGTTTTGTTTTTTTTTCTAATAATATTAAGCGAACAACATCATCTCACGCACGATTAGTCAAAGCTCTGGATTCATTTGTTGATTACTTTAATACTGATGAACAATGTTTACCAAAAGAAGCGCTCAAAACTGACAAATATAAAGTAAAATAAAAGATAATTGAAATAACAAAAAATAATTATCATTTCTTATCTTTTAGTTAATAAAAAAATTACTAAAATATTATTCAACAGATACATATTCATTAATTAAATTATATTATCAAGTTAGTTGATTATTTATTCTTATAATTATATTCGTTAATTTCTTTAGGAAAAATTACAAGAACAAGAACGTATTGGTGTTATAAATCAAACTTTACATCTAGCGGATTTAGGAAAACTTTATTGTCGTGCATATTATCATTTGAAAGAAGAAACATTATATGTTGAAAGTAAATTTTTCATTTTGATTATTTAATTTAAGAAATAAAAACAACAAAAAATATCAATGTTTTTAGTTATATCATGCAAAAATCTCAAACCGTGTGATTCCAATGGTTTAAGGTACTAACGAAAATTTTCAATTAAAACAAAAAAAAAGAAAAGACAAATGATTCGTTTTGTTTTAGTGATCCATTTGTTGAAATTCAATTATGTCCAAAATTTTTATATCCTCATATTGAAAAACAACAAACATCAATTGTAAAAAAAACTTTAAATCCATCATTTAATGAAAAATTTGAATTGTAAGAAAAATAAATAAAGAAAAAAAAAATCGTTTATTTTTCTCTGGGTACTTTTTTAGTCGTTTAACAGAAAAAGAATGTACTTTATCCGGTGGTTTTATACATTTTATTGTAATGGATCATGATTTAATGTGGTCAAATGATTTCGAAGGTGAAGCTTTTCTTGAAATATCAAAATTACCTGGAATTCCACATGATTCGACTAATGATTGTCGACCTTTAGATGAATTAAAAAAAATTGAACTTTCATTAACACATCCAAAAGGTTTGAAAAATAAATCAAAAATATTTCGTTAATTTAAAATTAATTTATTATTTTAGCTGTACGAAGTCGTATTATTGAAATATTAGAACAACGTCTATCAGATAAAACGGCTATTGAATTTGTTCGACAACGACGTGAAGCAGAAAATCAATAAAACTAAAATATATTTTTTTTCTGTTTCCTTTTCTTTTTTTTTCTAATGTAAATTATATGAATAAAAATGATTCACTTCTGAAGAAAGAACACATATTTTTCTTTCGTCGACTCTCAAATTCCATTGTAATTAAAATAAGAAAATGATCGTACTACCTATTTTCTATTTTCGGACAATAAATTTTGTATATTATTAGCTAGTCATTGTATGAATAAACAATCCGTTCAACAAACTATCAAATGTCATATAAATACCTTTTGTGGAACTCACATATGCTATGGAAAGGGTGAGGAGAGGGTTAAAGATCATCGGACACATTTTCCTAATAACGAGAAGAGGCACGGCAGTAATAACAATGTTTAGATCATTATGGCACTTTTTAGAATCTTTCAAAACATTTTATGAATCGAAGATTTCTACTGTAGATTCTAACTAGTCTAAATATTTCGGGTTTTGGTATTTCAGATCTCCATTAAAAATTTCAATTTTTGAGCTTTCTACATAGTCGAATAGTCTACATTTTCTACTTTTGAAATCACTATTATTCTTAGTTTTTACGATGATTTCGAGAGGTTTTCTTATGGTTTTTTCACGATCTTCAAGAGATTTTGGAAAAGATTCACAAACAGAAAATGTCTGGTAAGTTTTAGTTTTTAAAGCCCTGTGACTTTGTGTATAGGCTTCTGACTTGGAGAACATACCTCACATGCTCTAGCAAATGGGCTTCATGCATTCTCTCCATGCAGTCTCTCGTGAATTGCTTGATGAGGCAGAAAACCTGAATTTCCAAAGTAAAACTTTGTTTGCCGTTTTTCTCAAAACGAGATTTTTTTGTTTATGCACCCTAGATTTCTGGGTCATTTTACATGCTAGAAAGTTTGGGAAGGTTTTAAATTGAAGAGAAAATTGTGCTCAACAACTTAACAGAGCCACATTTTTCATTTTGACTTAGTTTTTGAGAAAAATGGGTCTTCTTTTTTTATAGGAGTACCCCTATTGTTTTCGATCTTTTCGACAATAACTGACACGAAAAATTAACAAAGAAGAATTTAAAAAATTGGACTCAGTTTAGTTGTAGCGGTAAGTGTTGGCTACATCTTGACGCCAACCCGAAATCTGTATCATTAAGTTTGGGAGAGGAATCTGGGGCACATGCAGACCTACTTTTTAGTCTTTGATATAGAGATAACTCTTGAAGAACTCACAATTTCGGACTGAAATTTTTACTCTAAGCTTCCTAAGCCAGTACCAATATTTTCTGAAATTTCCAGCTAGATCGGTTATTCTGGAACAAAAATAGATTTTTGATAGAGGAGTCTTAATGCAGTGAAAGGATCATATTGTTGGTGTTAATCAGTAGGGTGGTCGTATGACTGACCTAACAGAGTCAGAATATTCGAACATAGAAATACTTCTAAAATATTATTTTTGAATTTCAATAAAAAAAAAAAACTTTAACAACCAATGATAAATTTTGATGATCATTTGATATTGTTGTATTTTTTTTATATTCTCAGAAGCGAGAAAAATAGGCTAAGTTTGCAAAATTGAAAATCAAGCCTTTTCAAGCAGTTTTGATGAATTTTGTCCTTATAAAATTTTTGAATTTGTCTTATACATCAAAAAAAAGTTAACTTTTTCGAAATACGGTACTTTGTTGAGTAATCGTCCTAAAATTATCTTTTCTCATGGATCACATAAGTTTGACTGTACTAACTTTAGACAATGTCCAAGAACTGAAAAAGACGAATTCATAAGTTGTCAATGAACTCTCAACAGAAATCTGGTAATTCTTTGCGAAAATCGGCAATTCATCTTTAGTTTTCTCACAGTTTTGTCATTCATAATAGTCAAAGAGATGCATATTCTACAATAATTTTCACTACTACACATTTCTTCGTTGGTTCGGATATGAAAGTAAAAAATATTGTGTCATTTTATTTTTGACTTGGACAATTATGGAATGGTTGCAGAGTAGAAGATTGATTCCTTTTTTTTTAGTCCTTACACACTCTTCTATCAAATATCATTGATATATCGTTGAAATCAATTCATGAAATACATTTGACTCGTTTATCGGCTGTCTTTTGTGTTGGAACTAAAAAGAATTCCAATATAAAATTGATTTTTATTATTAAATTGATAAATATTACTTCGAGAAATATCTTTAACAATAGTTCGTTCTACTTGTCTATTCGCATTAAGTAATTGACGCATATTCCTTAATGCATTAGCAGATTTTTCTTGAACAATTGGATCATCATCACCAATCAATTTAAGTAAATTCTATTGATAAAATAAATAATAATTTTCATTTTTTTTTTCTTTTAAATAACACATTTTCTCTTACTGATGCTATTCCAACATCATGTAAAATAACACAATTTGATGGAACACGAGAAAGATCATAAATAATTTTAGTTAATGATTTATAAAGTTCTGAATCTTGTTCTTGTAAATAATTTTTTAATGCTATCATAACACGTCGATTACCAAATTGTTCTTGATTTTTTGATAAATCTAATAAATTAGCTATTGCATCACAAAATGGTTTCCTCAATTGAGGATAATCCTATTCAACAACAACAACAACAAAACAAAAACATTATTTTATTTCATTTAAACATTTAACAAAAAAAAAATCAAACTAGATCATTTAATTGAGAAATTTTCGAAACAATACCAAGATCTGTTAAAATTTCTAGATTATGTTCATCTTTAACAATTTCAGCAATTATTGCTAAAGTAACTACAAGTAAATCAATATTGTCCGTTGATAATGTATTTAAAATTAAATAAAAAACACCATCAAATGAACGTATTAATTCACCATGATTCTTAAAAAATAAAGTAAATAAAACTTTTCGATATAATATAAAAAGACTAAACATACTTCAATTGAAGCAAGACAATTTCTAATTGTCCATCCAGCAGCTATTTTAATAGATGATGAAGCTAATTTAAATAATGTCCACAATTCTTGTAAACCATTATTATCAATAATCATTCTTTTATTTAAAAAAATAAGAAATTCAAAAAATTTTTACTTTCGACAAAGGAGAAAAAATGGTACTTCAGATTAGCGTACTGCAACCCTTACCTAAGTACGGTGTGAAAAGTAACAATTTATAGAGACATAAACTTCATTTTTAATAGTATAATTCATAAAAAATTTCAAAAAATGTATTTTTGATGTTGTTGTTTAATTTCGATATCCTTAATCACATAGTTGATAGGTAATCCTGTTAAACTTTCAAGGATGTGTTAGAATAATGAACCCAAGGATCGAATACCCGTACAGTACTCTATTGCAATAGTACTCAAAAGTATAATGAAGCATATAAATTTACTTAGACATTCTTCCGAATTTCTTGATAGGAAAGAATCCTATTGAAACAATAAACTAAGAGATGATTACTGATCGTTACCAATATTTGAGATAACTAGAAAATTGTCATTTTAACAAATGTCTATTTTCATCGATCAACAATGTATAAGACAGTTGTTCATATATATATATTGTTTATCTTTAATTTACATTTCGAAAGAAAAACTTCGTTGCCTAATTTGATTTCATTGCTAGTTTTTGTAACATTAAGATTTGTTTCATTATATTCATACTTTCATCACTATTATCATTTATCTCTTCATCATGACTGAAGTTGTTATTATAGATGTTACTATCTTCTTTCTCTTATATTTTCTTTTCTTCTTGTTCTTCTTCAAGGTATAGTTTATCAGCAACTCAAAAATAAAAGACGAAAATAAGTTGAACTTAAAATATGTATTTCTCCACTTTTTAAGAACTATATTTATCATTGTTGGCCTATTTGCTGCTTTTAATCAAGCTTTCGTATATTTGTATACTTATCTTTTTCTCAAAGTTTAGCATGTGTACTGCTATTCTATTTTTCTTTTCACTAGTTATTATACTATTAATTAGAGATTCATAGAGCTCAATTGTTTCTCAGAAGAACAGGCAGATTGTCCTTTTTTTGTGAAGTATAATACACAATTCTAGTTTTATCATTTTGTTATTCAATGCATTCTTTGTGTTTTTATTTCCTATTTTGATCAATCTGTATGATTTTATATTACATACAAGTGTCAAGTATGGTTCAATCATAAATATTAGAAGTTCAAGAGATAATAGGCGAGTTCCTATTGAGTAAATGCTATAAAATCTTGAAGTCACATAATGTCTTATGAAGTGCACTTGTTTTCTCATTGTTTTTCTGAGAAAAAAACTTACATTGATGCTTCTTTATCTTGTCCACATTTTTGTAATATATGTAAAATATTTAGTTGAATATCCGAATTATTTTCATTTTGTAAATAAAAAATAAAATTGGAAAAAATTTTTTCTTGTTTAAATAATTCTATTGTTTGTGAAATTTTTGTTAATTCATTTAATGATTTAATAATACGTAATAAATATAAAAAATTTGAAGAATCTTTAAAAAATTTTATCATATTTAATATAATATCATTTGATATATTTTCATTATTTCGAATAAATTCTGTTAAAATATTTATTATTGAACAAAATATTGATGGATCCTTGGTTTGTTCCAATAAACCTTTTAATTTTTTAAAACCATATTGATAAATATGTTGTAAAAGATTTAAATCAAGTGATAAATAATAAAGAGATTCACATATAGCACGAGTTAGTTCAATATTTGTTAAATCAATTAAATTTATTAAAGATATTATTACATTTGTATCGATCATTTGTAAACGAAATATCGGCTATGAAAAAAAAAATCTTTTATTAAATATAGATGGTTCGAATATTTCGTAATGAATGTTTTTGATAGTGAAACTTTTTTTTTTTTTTTCTTCAAAAAATCTGATTCTTCAGGCTCGAGTGAAGCGATATATACTGAAGATATTCTTGATAAAGCGTTAGAATCCGTACAAATTCATTTTTCAGGATAATAAGATACACATCTCAATTCAATTGAAGTTATGAATTTGTAAAACAGTTCTTCTTCTCA